GGCTGGAGAACACCTCCGAGGGAGGATGACCATCCCGAGTTCCTTGCTCGGGAAGTTGAGGACGTTTTCCGTTCCTATTGCGCGGGCCTTTTGAGGTCTGAAAGTTTCGACCTCAAGTCCTGCGTAATTGAACCGGAATCGGAGCCCAAGGCGGAGCCGGCTCCCAAAATGAAGCCACCTCCTCCTTCTCTGTCAGCCAGTAAGGGCCTTCCTAGGCGATCGGCGCCTGCTGTCCATACTGGGTCGGCGCACACCGCCAAGCGTCCGCGAGAGGCTGGCGGTGGCTCCACTGGGAGCGTGCAGATCCCAGGGCATTATTACGGCAAAGCCCGTACAAAGGAATCCCCTGTTCAACCCTCTGAACCGCCAATGGGCGGAGCAGGGGGGAGCGCACAGCCGTCCGAAATGGATGTGGACAAGGAGGGGAGTAAGGGTGACGGGAAGAAGGACAAAGCGGCCAATGAGGCTGCTGTAGCGTCAAAGAGCGCAAAGCCGCATCCGGCGAAAGCGTCGCGTCCCGAGGCCCTAAGCGGCTCGTTGGATGTGACACTAATCAGCGACGTACGGGAGCGTGATCGGGATATTTCCGATGACGAGTTTTCCCCTACGAACGTGTGCATGTTTCCAGAATCATGGGAGGGCGCCATGCCGACCTCCGTGATTGACAAGGCCGGAGGCTTTGAGCAGTTTAGGAACGAGCTCATGAGGATCCAGAGAGTCCTGGATTCTCCGGCGTTGGTCGACCTTGGTAAGGTCGATCTGGACGCTCTGGGCGAGCCGCCCAAGGAGTACGTCTCGGATGAAGATCACGAGAGTTATGTAGACGATGAGGGAATGGGTCCATATGTGGACAAATTCTCATCAATGGGTGACCGCGACCTAGTGCCCTCAAAGCAGGAGCCGCCTTACTATGAGGCAAAGGCGTGGCGCACCACTGAAGAAGAAATTGAAAGGATGAAGAACCTTTTTCCATTCTTTCGTGCCGAAAATTATCGGCTTATGTCTGCGAGTACTGGTCCCATAGGTACCAAGTCGCACGTACAGGGCGTCCTCCCAACAGGTGCGTCGTTGGAAGAGGCACTGATGGCTAAGCCCGGTGTGTGCCCGATTACGAGCACCTACAACCTCACATACGAGGGTGAAGAGGTTGTGATTGATGCACAGGGCGGGATAGCAGGCAGAATCGCCTGTCCTGCCGGAAATGACATCTTCCATTTTTTCCCCGAAATTAGGGATGTGTCGGCGTTTGTTGGACGAAGCTCCAGGGAATCGCAAATGCTGCTAGAAGTTTTGTCGGGCAACACTGACCCTACGCGGTTAAACGTGAAGCCCGGTGAGCAGCCTCCCTTCTTGTTTGGGACGGTTCCAGACATTCTGGGAGGTTGGATGTCAATGACTCTGATCTCAACGCTACTTGAGGCCCTATACGGGATCCACAAGTGCACGAGTGTCGAGGTAGCGACCTGGGCGGGTGCTCTCGCAAAGGAAAGCCCATCTTACCCTCCAGTCGAGCTCCTAATACGGAAAGTCTGGAGGACAGATGGCACGAGTGTGCGCCCGAATGAGGTGCTTTTTGCGCGGTCCACCCTAATCGGGAGGGACGTGCCGTTCAAAGTTTTCAAGCGTTGGGCACTGCGTGACCGAACGCCTATGGGGCCTTTGCTTAGGCCGATGGGAGCAGCAGAAGTCCCTTATACGGGATACGTGCTGCTGACGATGGCCGAGTATCGGTCCGCCCTCAAAACGAGGTGCATCCGGAGGCCTGGCAAATTCGCCATCACAGTTTTCCCCATGCGACCTGAGCAGGTCTGCAGGGGGGAGATCATGATTGGGATGGAGGGCGCAAAGGTGCCTTTCCTCAAGTTGCCCAGCCCCAATAATGAGGGCGAATTTTATGTTGACGACCGCGTCAAGTACATGGACAAGCGCCATGTCGTTGTGGCCGTTGACCTAAAGTGGATGGCCATCGAGGAAGCCGCCGGCATCTACAAAACCCGACGCGGTTTGATCGCCGTGCGGGAAGAGATACATGCGCCATTCTGGCGCGCATGCTATCTGCACCAGGAAGGGGATGTAATATACATCCGTCCCTGGGCGGTCCGTGAGTTGAATGTTCAGGGACCGCGGAGAGGGGTGTCATTTTCATGGGACAATGCTCCCATGCATGACTACTGGTGCCCTCGGTGTGCGCATTTGAACATGTATGGCACCATTCTATGCAATGGTTGCCATCTGCCGATTTTCTATCGTGAATGGGTGCCAGGCACCGTCCGCGCTCTGGTTAAGCATGGACAGCCAATCTGGCTGAGCGAACTCAAAGCAGTCCGCCCCAGCAGCTGGCATGAAGGGGAGACCGACGCGTGGGCCCCTCTCATGGCATCGGTAAACCCGATTCGCGAGGTGGTCAGCTGCATGATCACCGGTTTGCGCTGCGCGCCGCATCTTGTGCACATTCCCAATGCGGATATTGTGCAAGTTGCGTTTCAGGAGGTTGCAAAGGTCACCTCAAAGGACACTCACGCTTGTGTGCGGGCGAGTGATGAGGCTCTCGAGCGGTGGGTAGCGAAGCAGCTGCTCATCGAGGAGAGCAACACTGGCGTCTCGATTCCCGACAATATGTCTGTCATGGCATATTTAATCGACCACCCGCAACAGGCGGCGCAATGGGGTCGTCATATGACGAGAAAGGGCAGTCTAAATTCAGCATTTGCCCTTTACCTCTCTGTGCATATCTTTGATGCCTACCGCATCGGGATTGAGGACGGGTATTTGGTTCCGCTGTATGGCCTAGGCGCCTCACGCGCGGATGTCATAATGTCGTTGGTACAGGCTGAGCGACGCCTCACGGACTTCAATACTGAAGATCCGAGTTTCGACGCTTCCACTGTTCTTGATTGGAATATCGACTCTTTGCGGGCAAGTGGTGGATCCATCACGGCCCCAATTGAGTATGCTGAGGCATACATTTATGTCGAAGACAATAAGGTTGACATGGTCCCCGCTTCGCGGCGCGACGGCCAATGCGCCATTGTCTTTGCTGACCCGCCGGTTGGGAAGCACCACAGGCGGGCAGCCACTCCTAGGGGAGACCAACGGTCTGCTACCCCGCGACCTGAATCCAGGTCAAAGGGTGATCAGCAAAAGGGCAAAGCCCCTGCACAATCCTGGCCCAAGGGCGGAGGTCACAAGGGTGACCAGTTCCCAGGAAAGGGTCACAAAGGTGATCAGTACAAAGGCAAGGGTGGCCAATACGGCTACCAACAAGGGCAGTTCGGTCGTGGCGGATCCGCCAGATCGAGAACTCCCACTGGCGGGTATCAGCCTGATGCTCGCGGGTCGGGATACAAGGGTGCTCAGGCAGCCCCTTTCCCGTTCCCAAGTCCGATGTACCCCGCTTTCCCAATGGGAGGGTACATGCAACAGCCAATGGCTGGCATGATGCCGCAAATGTGGCCTGGCGCAATGCAGCAGGGTTGGCAGCCGCACATGCAGGGTGATCCACGCGAGTTCGAGAATCCGAGCTCGACGCATACCCCTACCTGGGGTGCGGACGATGAGTTGGCCGAGACCGTGCCTCCTCCTCCTGGGGACTGGAACCTCAACAAGGGGAGGGGACGGCGCGGCGGCGGACGACATCGGTAATACCTGGTGTCTGTCTGCACCTTTTGCGTAGCGGCGCCAACGCGCGCGTGCTTTCATTCCGAAATTCACATAATGGACAATGCTCCCTGTAGTATTTCTATGTTTGGGCTATTCGCCATTCCAGAATTCAACTGCATGCGCAGCTGTGCGCTATTCGCGCAAGCTGCGATTACCTGCCAGGTATGAATCGCCGCAGCAAGGCAGTCACTCTCGGCGGTGTCTATGGCCGCTGGTGATCTGCATCCACCTGCACCGCTGCTGCTGCTGGTGATGATGCTCATCAAGGTGCTGAGGTGAAGAACACGGGTGCCCTGCACCGCTGCCGGTGATGTCCTACTCGGACCTGAACCGCGGATCGCTGCTGGCGGTACCCATGGCGGTTGTCCTCGAGTGATCGCGCGCCTAGACGGTGCTAATTTATAACCAAGGCTCATTAGTCTATGCACCATGTTTCAACCAACCGGCCAATGCGCCTAATCCAATAATTAAAGATTAAATCCACTCGAATCGAATGGTTCAATGTGGTTGCAACGCAAATGACAATTCCTTGGCTTCATGCCGGCCATTCCGAAGTTGTTCCTTTGTTCTTTTCTTTTGTTGCTTTCTCTTGTTTAATTTGGCTACCGGCGAGAATCCGCCCCATACCCGTAATTCGGGGTGGTGGCGGGATCCGGGCACCAATGAGTGCCCGGGTATGGGGTCGCGAACCCTGGTAGCCTAATCGGCTTTGTTTGTCTTGTTTGTTGCAGTTCAACTTCAATGGCCAATGCGCCCTTCCAAATTCACTTCCTCTCTTTGTACAGGCGAGGGGGGTGTTTTTGGGGGCATGTACTTTTATCATAGCATGTTTCATGCCAAAGCCCAACGCGGCTTTTGGCTCAAGCTTTTCCTTACGGCATCCTAATCTTGCCATAGCGTCAACTACCCGCGCACGGCGCCGCGGCGGTCTCGTGGAAAAGGACACCACGGGCTCGCCAGCCGGCGGTGCGGGGCCGGCTGGCTGTGGGTCAGGACTTGGGGTGGTAGGGTCGCGCTCTGGTTTGCTTTGCTTGCTTCGCTGCATTGTTTGCCTGCTTGGTTTGCTGCTTTGTGCTTGCTTTCGGTTGTCTCTGCCCTTGCTGGGTTCATTCATCTTTTGGTTAAAGGCACCCTGTTTGGTTCGTTTGTTGTGCCAGCCGGGGGCACCGCTTTGCCCTTGGGACTGGGGGACTTAAACAATCTCTTCTTGTTGGTGGGATTGGGCCTGTTTATTCTCTCCCGAAATACTGTTTCAAACCCTTTCGCACTTTTTATACTCCATGCAAGGCAGTTTTCCTGGGTCTCCAAACCGCATCCGCTTCCGGGAGTGCCGCGCTTAGGTCCGGAGCCCAGGCCACCAAGGAGGCGCGAAGGATCCATCGGCTCCGAAAGAGAAGGAGTCGGCGCGAGTCAGGAAAGAAAAGAAGGGGAAAGATCCCCAAAGAGGGTGGATAAGAGAGGCACTTTTGGACATCATCCGCTAACGTGCCATGGTCAAGCCACCCAATTTGAGGCCGGTGATGGTCACGGGCGTGCCTCTAAGGGCTCCTGTGAAAGCCTTGACTGCTGTACCGCCCCCGAGAAGGTATGAGTGCTCTGCCTTGTAGCGCCTCTTACAAGTGAGAAGTCGGGAACCAAGTTTTCCGTGCTGGTGGCGGATCTTGAAAGAAACAACACTTCTCAGAGCGGCAATACACCACACTGATTTACCTGCCCCATTTTGGCCCATTGTGCGTCACAGTCACTTGTTGTCCTTTTTTCACTTTGTGCCCTCGGAGTGAGTGACTTGTGAACTGCGGGACTCGCTGAAGCCGCATATGAAAGATGGCCAAAGATGAAAGGCGAGGTGCTTTGGACGTTCTCTCCCGAAAGCACATACAGATGTTTCAAGATAGGGGACCCCTGAACTTGGTTGGTTTCCTTTTGGGCCCTTAATAACAACTCCAGAAAGGGTAGCCTCAAACGGCACATCCTCATGGAGATTTAACCACCTCTGGGTTTGAGCCTATTATGTCTACTTTGGGGGAGACTCAGCAAATTGCCATCTTATTTTCATAGGGAACCTCTCAAACGTGAATCCCCATGTAAATCCACCAAAGGATCCCTACCTAAAAATCACACTCAAATGGAACCTCACAATAGGGGTCCAATTCCTAAAACGGTTTTGGTTTCCCTTCAAAATCCCAAAGGTTGGCTTCTTGACAACTGGGCCTTGAATTTCGTCAGACAAAGCGCTTCGCCTTCGCCAGGTGCTGTCGCACGACTTCGCGGAGAGTGGACCGGCGCATTTGGTCCTGGCCATCGGGGAGCTCGGCGACCTGGAGGCGCGACTGCTTCGACCCTTGGCAAAAGGGAAACCAACAGCAAAAAAGCAAAGCCCGTTTTAGGAAAGGGACGCTTGCTTTGAGCACCTCATTTGGGTATCGCTCTTCTCAGGTCGGTCGAAAGGGAAATCAAGAGGAAACCAAAGCCATGTGGGTATGTCTCAAAGCAGGGTTACCATTTGAACCAAAGGTGAAAATGGTACCCTCAGAAAACAAACACATCCATTGCACAAAAGGCAACCCCCACCTCTTCTTTTTATCGACCTTATCAGAGTATGCTATGTGCTTGTTTGGAAAGAAGCCTTGCGCCATAATTAAACCCGAATCGGTAAATGACAGCAAGGGCAAGCCCCAACCACCGTTTTGATAATTGTCGTTTTGGATAGAGCCCTTGAATACCAGTTTTTGATATTGACTCACCGTCAGTTTGACCCCTGGTAAGTGAAGCTGGAGAATAAGTTGGTGGGTGTTGTTCCCAAGAATTAGGATACTCTCTTAAACGGGCCATTCCCCCCTTCATGGCTCACGAAGTATTAGGGGGTTAGTTTAGAGGGTTTCCCTCTACCCTCATTGGTGGATTGGATTGTTTGGTTTAGAGTTGGCACATCTTCCCTGTTGGGAACTCAGGGTAACCTGGGCTCCAACTCTCCAACTCTTCAAGCCATTCCAATTTTGGCTGGTTTGAACCAGCATGTGTCGTCACCTGGCAGATGAGAGACATCGTCCTGCCCCACCTCTCGCAGGGCAGGCCGGGACTCGGCGAGCCAGTGCGTTTCTTCGGGCAGTTCGGTTTGGAGCCTGGCGACATCGGCCTTTGAAGGGTGCCAAAAAGGCAACGTGGCAAATGGCCGAAAAGGCATGCCTGTCGCAATGGCGGAAGCAAACAGCTAACCCAAATCCGAGAGCTCCGGATGCTCAGCGCGGGGAGGCCAAGGGCGGCCAGCCTGACCTTGCTTCGGCGAAGTGGCAGTGCCGCCAGCGTGGGCTGCATGAGGCGGGGGATCGAACCTGGGATCTTTCGACATGTTGCTTGGTATTCACCGAATATGGAAGGTTTGTCGAATTGTCTTCTAAAGTGATTTTAAGGTTTGCATGTGTAAACATGCGGCTTTTGGTTGGGACAGGCAGATTTGAAGTTGGCTTCATACTTTGGAGCAGTCATGCCGATGCTTGTGCATTCCGGGTTGGCTTGGGTTGAGCGGGGCTTTGATTGAATGGTCGGCCGACCTTGGTCTAGGGTTTGCTTTGGGCTGGGAGAGGGCGGTTTCATGTAATCGAGTGAGTGCAAGGAGTTGTGCGGCATACGGATTTGTGCAGCCAACAACTCACGCTGTTTGGCCAGCGACAGGCTGGCTGCCCATGGCGCAGGGGCCACCCTGTCTGGGCAACCAGCCGCAAAGCGCCAGCGCGTGGTCGGGGTAGACGCGAGAGAGGCAGGGTAGTGCTGGGTGGAGAACACTTGGGATTTTGTTTGCGCTTTGCTTAGCAAGCAGACGGTTTCGCTGGCACTTCTTCCCCGCGTGGCGGTTGGTACGCAGTCCCGTCGAAATGCTTGCGGGGAAGCTCCCAACCACACCTACTAGCCACCATCCGTGTTTCTTGCCAGCAACTCGGGTTTGCTCTCCCAAGGCCTGATTCCCATGATTTTTGGCCCCTAGATCTCCTCGAGCTCCGTTGGGTCACCCTTGGGTCTCCACCGCTTTCCATTCTTTTTCAAGATCCCACGTGCTTGGGTTTACGGAGGTGCCTGGCCGCGTGCGAGTGCGGCAGATCCTCCTGCGAACCTGGCGAGGGGGCTCCGCACCGAAGCCTGAGGCGGAAAGGGGGGCTCGCAGGTTTCGAATGCAGCGCCACGTGGTTAGTCCATTGTTTCTCTGCCATGACTCACACGGGTAGGATTCTCAATAGGAGACTCCCTGAAAACTTGTTTGGCACACGCAACTCCTCGTACAAAACATGTGCACCAAAGGGTGAATCAAGCCAACACCCTGCAAACGGTGCCTAATTACACTTCCACCTGGGTGTGCGTTTTCGAGGGTACGCTTTTCACCTTGACTTAGACGGAAGCCAAGAAGATAGCCACAATTTTGGATCTGCGTACTTTTACAAGGCCCACACGGGGTCCCTGGGCTCATTGACATCACGGGAGCCAGGATCCCGTGCGGCGCAAGTCGGTCCAGCGGAGCCAGGAGGACACCAAGATGCATTTTTGGCCATCGGCGTCGATATGGGCGGGACCCTTTGCTTTAGTTGTTTGCCCCTGAGGGTGGACTAACATGAAGCCAACCAAACTGGTTGATCTACATCTGCCAGACTTGAGCAAAGGTTAAGGTTCATCTTATTTGCAGGTGAAGGAAATGCATAAGGCTCCCCCCCGACCAATCACCGCTTGAATTAGAGGAGCAAACCACAAACTCACACGTTACCTGCTCCGGACACCCGCTTCAGGAGGCGGAAGGAGAGATGCTGAAGGCAAGAAGACGGTTGCAGAACGTGTTTGCCGGCATCTTGACTTGTACGCTGGCAACGAGGAGTCTGTTGAGGTTTCTTCACATTTGAAGGTTTACCAAATATGGATGAGAATCAACCAAGCTGTTTTTGGTTGGGCCCAAAAGCTGAGGTGGGCAGCCCCTTCAAGCGCAATCCCAACCAGAAATAGGTGCGTCCATCCTTTCGATTTGTTACATGGTTCTGGTTGACCATGTCAATACCAGGTTTTGATTGCGATTCAGTTATACCGCACTCTGGCCGCCCGGGAGTGTGCAGGTGATGGATGGGCTGCTTGAATCCAAAGATGGCCTTTGCCCCAGCCGTGTTTTAAGATAGACACTTCTGGTTGGCCGCCGTCAAGGGGACACGAATTTGAAGCCATTGCCTTCGAAAGGATCCAAACACCGAGTTGGCTTCGAAAAAGGGCGTGAGACACAAGTGAACCGCCGCTTTATTCCGCCCTTTTGGCTTGTTGCTCAGGTGAGCTGCGCAAAACTTAGCCTATTGGTTTGGGGACCCACTCTACTTATTTCCCGCACAAAGAGGGTTTGCCCGCTCAGTGGCGGAAGGGGGTCCCATTTTTCCCATATACTTGTGAGTTTGTCCCAAAATACTCTAACATGGCAACGGCTTCCTTTCGGTCCTTTCGGTTTCCCTGAAAGCTGCCCCCCAAAAGGGTGCCCTCCAAAAAGCACAGTTCTTGTCTTCAGGGCTCTGAGGGAACCCTTTGTCGTTTCGAGGTGCAAGCCTGGCCAAGAACTTCACCAGCGCCTGCCGTGTCACCTCCGAGTGCCCGTCCTCGCTGCAAGGGGGGGAGCTCGCGGGGGACCTGGGCTGGCTCGACAAGGACAAGGGCCCGGGGGCCCAGAGACTGCCAGAGATATGTGATGGGTATGTGTCAAAGGCGGGGGGGGGGGGCACGAAAAGTGGTGAGAAGAAGTTCCCTCCAAGAAACAAATGCCCAAATGCGGTCGCTTCGTTGATGAAATCTTCTTTGATCATACGAGATGCGAGTAGAGGCAAGGGGCGTATGGCTTTTTCAAGAAGAACAAAGGACTACATGGCGACGAAAGTCAACATGGTTATTCGCAGTTCGCCTCGGTCTTTACATATGTACTGGCCATTGTCAGAAGAGCCAGAGCACGCGGTTGTGGCCGAGCGGCTTTGCCGAGGCATCGATGCGAAGCGTGCCAACGGAAAGATGGTCAGGTTGGCGCTGCGTTGGGATGCCGTCGTTTTGGCTGCGTGTCCCTTCCCGAGTCCGAGCCGCATTTACCGTTCTGGATCGCTTCGTAAGCACAAAATCAGAAGACGTTTGCCTCTCAGCAAACCATATCTGACAGCAGAAGATTCAATTCCATCGCACTCAGTCCAAAAAACCCAAGGAATGACATGGTCGTTTTTTTTTGCCCCGGGCGCTTCAGGCCGGCGGTGCCGGCCCCTGTGCTGCGGGTCGCCTTTGAGCTGGAGGCGTGAGCGCGATTCCAGGTCCCGCAGTGCCCGATGCGGCCAGTTTCCACAAGGAAGAACCCGATGTAGGTTTGTCTTTTTGCCGGGGGGGGGGGGGGGTACCCTTCTTGTGGCAGTTTTCAAAGGAACCACTCATTTCTTCGGCGACCTCCCTATTCTGACGCATGCATACCCATATGGGCTGCGGTTTCCGTTTGGTGTCGCTTCCAAACAACCCCTACAAAAGTGCCCTCAGAAAAGACACCTAGATTTACCTTGAACAAACAAGCGTTGCACACCAGTTCAATCACTTTCTGGACCAAGTGAGTTTCCTCGTGGGGTGATGACTAGGGGGGCGCTTTCCGGAGCTCGTCTTGTTTAGTTGCGGACGAGCCAAGACATTTGCGGAGGTTCTATTTTTTCCTCGCGGGTTCCTAAGTTTTTCTCACTTTGGATTGACACCATCCCACATGCCCGAAAATGGACTAAGGTGGACCACTTGATTTGCTTACGTCAACCACTCAACTGGCTTAGGATCCATGGCACACACACATGGCGGGTGCCACCGACCACCTCCAAGAGCCTCCTATCTGCAAGTGGAAACCAAAGGGGCTCTATTAACCGCCCAAATAGTTCACCTTTTCGCTGGCGAGCGCAGGTGGGCGAACTGAGCGACCTGGTCTCTTCCGAGGCAATCTGGACGATCTGCACTGCATGCTGCGGGTTGTTACTCACCAACTGGAGCATTGGTGTCCGTTTAGGCCAGTCAGGCTGGCTGAGACACGAAAAAGGGGGACGGTGGGCATGTTCAAAACCGGAGAACCATAAATGTTCTTAGGTCGGTTTGGAATCCACTGGTTTCAAGGTTCCAATCATTTACCAGAGCAATCCTTTTGTCCAACAGGTATTTGTCCAAAAGGGCAGCTAGGATCCGGAGGTGGGTGACGGAGGTGTCAAGCTCCAGTTGTTTGCTGCTCCCGGAAACATGTCGGATGAGCAGGGTTCCTCAAACGCATACCCTCGCGACTTTATGTCTTTGTGTCGTGTTCTTTGTCCGTTCGCCAGGTAGGTGTTCATTTGCTGCTCCGCTCAGCGTGACGGGGCGGTGTCGGAGCTCCAAGGACAGAGTTGAAAAGCGGCCGCCTGGAGAAAGATTTGCCTCTCAGTTCTACTGCAGCAGATTTCTTCTCAACTGGTGCATGAGCGGTGTGCTTTGTTTCAGCCCATCTGGGGGTCTCCCAAAATGATCAAATTGAAAAAGCCCATTTAATCAAACGAAAGATAGAATTACTTTTCGTGGTGCAGTGGTGCTGAACTAATCAAGCTTCGCTGTCGCTCAGAAAGCAAGCTGGAAAACGCGAGAAGTGGCTAATAGAAGCGGACCACAGACGTAGCCTCGTGCGTGAAATCGGCTCGTTGGGTCGTGCTTACTATCTACTAGTGGCTACCCATCGAAGAAGTAGCCAAGACAGTCTTTCTAAGTCATTTGTTTGCCAACTAGGTATCCAGCGAGCTATCTAGCGAGCTATCTAGCGAGCTAACTATCTCACTACTGGCTAGCAAGCCTAACTGGCAAACTGGTTAGCTAGCCAATAATTCTCGAACCACTAACTACTTGGCCAGCGTAGCTAGCCGGACAATGAACTAAGCAACTGGCCAACTATCCAAACAGCTAGCTGCCAACTAGCTTACTCTCAAATTGGCTAGCCGCTTAGCTAAGCGGCTTGCCGTGTATTCTTGAACTAGCCAACAACAAACTAGCTAAGCTAGCTGGCTATCTTGCTGGCCAAGTTGGTAGCTGCCAGGAAGCCAGCTTCCCAGCGCAAGATAGTTTCTAAATAGCTAGTTGGTGAGCTAAGCTCACCAGCTAGCCAGCCAGTTAGCTAGCCAATTCTCGCACTACTCAACTAGCTAACTAGCTGGCTACCTAGTTGACTAGCTAAATCGCGAACTAGCGAACTTGAACGCGAAAAGGCGCGCAGGCGTGGCATGCGTATGCATTGAAAAGGAACCACCTCTCAACCTGCAGGGGCTCGAAGGGAATCAATGGAAGGGTTGTGTTTGCAGATGAGCCTTGCGCAAGGGGAGCGGCAAATCGAGGTGGTCAATAGAGGCGCAAAGTAGATTTGGCCAACATGGGCAGCTTCGATCAGGCTCTGCCCTCTTTATCCGTGGCTGAATCTCAGCGCTCCCGGTGGCTTCCCAGCTCCATGTGTGAATGAAAAACTTGCCAGCTGTCCACACGGTGATTTTCATGTTTGTGCGTATTTTCATGGTTACCTTCATCTTCATCGCATTCCTCCTCCTCTTTCTCTTTCTCATCCTCATCACCATCATCACCGTCACCATCACCACCATCACCATCCTGCTCCTCCTCCTCCTCCTCATCATCATCATCATCATCATCACGAGAAGTAAATTGGTTGGGGGTGAAGCTTGTCCGGTGCCTGTTCTTTTGAGGCTCAAATCACATGGAGCGTCAAGCTACCACGAAGCACCAACCACTCAGATCAGAGGTTCGAAGAGCTTAGAGGCCCCAACGCACTCCCGAATTGTGAGCTCACCCCATCCCAACATTGATCCCAAACGGCCAGACAAGTCGCCCATGGAGCATGGGCGCTTGGCGCGTGCCTTTTCCTGACCGGAGAGCGGTGGTTTTTGGGAGCGCACACGTCCGTCCTGGCTGAGCACTTGATGTTGTTTGGCACCAGGTGACTTGGGGTCGCCAGGGAATTCATATTTGCATTGTGTTGCATTTGTGTTGCACCCATTGTCCGGTCCCTGGCTTGCCAGTTGCCACCTTTTTTCAGATATTGGACAAAACCGCGGCCTAGCACGAACCACCCCTTCGGGTGGAGTTTTGACCAGGGCACCTTTGACCTCAGGAACCACGTTGGTGGCATCGTTTTTGTAGACTTTCCCAACTGAGCCAGAGGGTAGATGAAAGTTAGAAGGTGGGGACAATCCCAGCTATCAATTGGTGCGGCTCATGGATTGCTTTTGTAAATGATCTGGGGAGACCGTTGCATATCAAAGTTTATAGGTTTTGAGTACTCGACTCACCGACTCAGCGACCTCAGGTGCTGAGCGATGCGGCGGCTCGACGGTGCTCGCAGCCTGCCGGACCTGAAGGAGAGAGAAGCGAAAGGCCCAAGGCCAAGACTTTGAGTTGGCTCTGAAGGATCTTTTGGGGGAAACCAAGCGATCAGTCCGAGAAGCTAAGGATCTTTTGGGGGTCCCTCAAAAGGATACAATCACTTAAGAAGTGAGGCTCGTCTTTGACATTGGGGGCCCGGCCCTTATCACATAGCCAGGAAGAGATAGAGGAACATGGGCATATGCCTACCTTATTGGCGTGCGATGTTTGAGGCAAACAAATAGGGTTTAATAAGTGCCCCCCCCCCCCCCCCATTTTTTTTTTGTCAACTTCTCCCTCGAACGTTCAAGTGAGCAACAAACAATATTGGTGGTGAGGACACAGGCCAGCCCCATATTTCACAAGGAAAAACATGTCGTGTATGGCAGCGGCCCTCGCAGCCCAAACTGAGCACGCAGGAGAAACCCAGCGACGCGCCCCTGCCGATCCTAGAGCCACCGCCCAAGCGATAGGTTTTGTAGGATGGCACGCGACCGCAAGGAAGCAGGCTGTCGTTTTTATGCGCACATCCTGTCCTTTGTTTCGCCCCTGGTTCCTTTTCTGGGCTTTTGAATGGGAGAAAGAGATGGGTAGCGGATAACACCTGGCTAGACATTCAGTGGATTAAAAGGAGCAAACTCATCGGTGTGTGCCTCAGAACGAGGACCACGACTAGTCGGTTTACTCGAGGCTTCCCTTCAAGAGCAATGCCTCATTTTTGGCGGAGCATTTGGTTCTGTCATCTTCCTCCAGTCGGCTCACCCGCGGCATTTTCAGAGCGAAGGGAAAAGAGAGGTCTGCCGTTTGCGAACATATTTTTCGCCACCCCGTCAAGATTAAGCCATGCGTCGGGACCAAGATTGATAGGAGCACATCACGGGCTTCTTTAAGCAGGGCTCCTCACTGCAAAGACTGGCTTGAAACGCTCCAATGCAACCCCAGTGCAAATCCAGTTGTTTCCTGTGTCCTGGAGTTTCACTGGAATGGCACTGGAATTTCGCTGGTGTGGCACTTTCACGGGATGTTCGTTGGAACAGCTGGATTTTCATGGGAGTGGGGCGTGATTTGCCTGGAGTGGCGCGTGATTTTCGCTGGAGTGGCAGATGTTTTGGTGGAGCGGCGCTGGATGTTCCCTCGAGTGGCGCTGGGTTTTCGGAGGAGTGGCGCTGGAAGGACAGCTGTAAATGTGGCTTGACCATATCGTGAGCTGTGGCAAGTTTCATAAAATGTGCAAGGCCCCGCCCAAATCAATTACTTTTTGTTGACCTAGTGAGCCGTGGTAGAACGCAGGAATTCCACTGGTGCTTGCTGGTTTGGCAATAGTGTCAATTGAAGGGCCTCCTCACAAAAAAAGGGATCTGAAGCAGCTTTGTTTAAGGCGGTCTAGGAAGTTGCCCATTGAAAGATCGGTCAACGTGATCCTTTCCAGTGTGGATTCTAAAGTAGCTTTGTTTCCACTTTCCAAACAAATACTGCATAGTTTGGAATTGAGCACATGCCAATGTTGCTCCCAGACTGCGGTTGGGTAAGCATGCCCTCTGGCATGAGTGCCGCTATTTTCCCCCGAAAACCCGCCGAATCCCCGCCGCCCAGAAAGAAAAGAAGACGTCTGGGCTGATCGTGGTCCCGACGCCAACCAAGATGAACACATTCCCAAATGCGCTTCGTCCGCTTGGATGTGTGGCTTTAATCCTGTTGCCCCCCTAAGATCTCCTAAGGACGTGGGTCCTGCCGAAAGTTTTTTTGGAAGATGCGTTTCCATGAGCAAGTGGGGCCTTCATCCGCTTTTCTGCTTGTTTCTAGTTTGTGGTTGCATGTCAATCTCCTGAGGAGGGCACTTTCCGAGAAGGGGCTCAACAAAGAGCATCCTTTCACGTGGATGGGTCCGACAGGAATCGGAACGCGAAGTTGTTGGTTGGTTTTTTCCCCGTTGCAGAGCCAGCTCCTTGCGGGGCAATTCTCTTGGGGTGAGGCGTTGCGCTCGTATCCTCTTTTCAGGCCCGTGCCCACCTTCTCCGTGGGATCCTTGCCTAGGACGCAGGCGGGGACGGGAGGGAGACGCGGCCGACTTTCGACGAATCAAATCGTTCTTCCTCTACCTTGGTGCGGTGGACGCTTTGAGGCCGCGTATCAAAGGTATTTGCTTTGTTGGCTTTGGCAGGCTGAAATGTGCGTCGAAACCAGATGGACCCCTCCAATTCGTTTCCAAATCATCGCCCACGTTTCCAAAGTGGTCGGGGAAAGCTGCGACAGCCTTCTTGCCAACATGATTTGGTGTACAAGCCGCTTTTGCGACACGCCATGGCAAAGCGCGGGTAAGCCACCTTAGGTGACACTTGAGCCTTCAAACGAGTGTGATCCTAGAGTCAGAAACGCAGAACGGTCGCATTTGACCCTAGTCCCAATCTCTGTCGGCTGTTGACGTGGAATTGTCCTGGCCCTGTGCAGGGTCAGCGGTTGGGCGGCAAACCTAAACCCCCTAAAGGCACAAAACCTAAACCTGGAAGACAAAACCTAAACCTTGAAGACCCTAAGCCCAAACCCTGAAGAACCTAAACCTAAACCCTACAAACCCTAAACCCAAACACGAAGTCTCAACTTAAGCCCCAAAATGCCTAAACCTAAACCCTAAAAGGCCAAGCCCTAAACCCAAAACCTAAACCCCACCCGAAAGCCCTAAACCCTAAAGACCTGAATCTGTACGGGGTAGGGTTATATGACAACAACCAACAAAACAACAAACAACCAACAACCGGCGACACAATCAACAACAACACCAGCAGCAGCAGAACCACCACCACCACCACCACCACCGACGACGACGACGACGACGACGACGACGACGACGACGATGACAACAACAACAACAACAAAAACACCAACACCAACACCGACACCAACAACAAGAGCACCATCAGCAGGAACATCAAGAACAAGAACAAGAACAATATCAAGATCAAGAACAAAAGTGTATTAGAATGACGATCACCCAACATTAAAAGAAGTGTACCAGATAAGATAGGCAATGTTAATAAAAGCATGAAAGCTGTAATCAAGAAAGAGAAAGGAAATAATGGGATAGTCTTTAATATAAGATAATAAGATCTCAGATCAATAACAATAACAATAACAAGAACAAGACCATGAACAAGAACAAGAACAAGAACACGAACACGAAGACGAAGACCAAGACGACCGTGACCGCGACCGCACCCGCGCCCGCGTCCGCGTCCGAGAGCGCGAGCGCCACCGCCACCGCGAGCGCGAGCCGAGCGCCGCCGCGGCCGCGGCCACGGCCACGGCCACGACCAGCACCACGACCACGACCACGACCACGACCACAACCACGACCACGACCACAACCACGACCACGACCACAACAACAACGACAACGACAACAACAACAGCAGCAGCAGCAGCAACAACAACAACCGCAACAACCCGCAACAACCATAACAACCACCACAACCACCACAACCACCACAACCACAACCGCAAACGCAACCACAACGATGACGAGGACGACGACGACGATGACCACGGCAACAGCAGCAGCAGCAACAGCAACAGGAACAGGAACAACAACAGGAACATCAGCAACAACAACAACAGCAGCAGCAGCAGCAGCAACAACAACAACAAGCCAAAGCGCGCGCACGAACGCACAGACACGCACCTGCACAAACACAACACGCAAAAGAGACACACACACACACCAACAGGAACACCAGCGCGAGCACCAGCATGAGCACCAAGACCAGCACTGCACAGGCGCAAGCGCAGGCACCAGCGCAAACACAAGCACAAACACGCCGTTTGTTTTTCTGCGGCGTGCAAAACCATGGGGTCGTGGACGTTTGGACACATACCCATCACCATAAATTCAATCCGTCTCACTTTGAGATCATGACGGTGAAGAGCCCAAAGAAGCTCAGAAGGCAGGCTTTGGACTTTTGAGTGAAACATGAGTAGCAAAAGTCCGTCCCCGATAGTGATGGAAGCTTGGCTGAGTACAGGAAGTGGAAGCTGTAACTTGAACGAAACCATGCCCTTTTGCGAGTTAGTTCCAAAAAATCGCTTTCCTGTGTTGGATTTGCTACTTTAGCGGGCTCTATTCGGAAGATTTGCTATTTGCCCTCCCTCCAACAATCATGAACGCTGGCAGGAGGGTTTTGGAAGACGGCTTCCTTTTGGGGAAGACCCCTGTCCACTTCCGTGATTGTTGGAGGGTAGCGACTAATTCCCTTGTTCAACAGAGGCCAGCCCTTTGAGGCCCCACTCACAAACCGGATCGGCGGAGCCTTTCTTGGCGGGTCGTGAGGTCTCCTCACGCGTGGGCACTGCTGCCAGTAAGAGGGGCTGGAGGCCGCTTGGTGCTTGGAGAGTTCGATGGGTCTTTGCGCGATTCCTCAAACAAACATATGGTGCTCGCTTTGCATTTGGTACCCGAGGGAGCCCAAACGAAGGTGGAGTTCTTTGTGCTCGCGGCACCAACCATCCGTCCATGTGTGCATGTGTGTGTGTGTGTGTGAGTGTAATGCACAGTTGAGAGCTTCCTTGAATCATGAATCATGACCAAGGCATTTCCCAAACAAATAGGACATTTCAGACACACCTCGAACGCCTCAGCAAAACCGACGGCACAGTAGCGGAGCCAGATGAATGGAGCCTTCCAAGCAAACCCCTGACATTTCAAAACCAAACAAAGGGAAAACCGTTGGGCCAGTTGGGGTTGTTCCAAGACATTTCAACAAGAAACACACAGGAAACTGCTGCTCAATATACAAGGGGATCCGAGTTTTGGAAGCACCCATGATTGTTTGTGGGAGTGGGCAACCTCACACGGCAGTTGTTTGAGGACTAGGGGAATCCGTGAAAAATCCTTTTCTTGCACTTACTTGAACGTAGGTTGCCAGGGAGGGCTTTAGGTCTCAAACCAGTATTTTGAAGAGCGCCTGCATTTGTAACCACAGAAATAAAGAAAGACAGAAAGCAAGAAAAGAGAAAAATAAATAAATAAATAAATAGATAAATCAAGAAAGAAAGAAAGAATGGGGGTTCTACGTCTTGTTGTCACTTGTCTGGTACCGCCATCTGCGGCACTCTGCTGTACTTAGCTGGGTCCTGAATTACAAGTCACCAACTGGGCATTTTTTTTCATTTCCTACCCTCAAAGACATGACCTGCATAGGGTCAAATCCCTCATTTTACGAGTTGTCAACAGAGCTCATTGCATTGACCTTTCTTTTCATCCAAATGTGTAGAAGCCTTTTACACGGGATGTGTGCCCAGGGAAGCCAAAAAGAATCTCCGAAGCTATTTGTGGTGGTCCATGTCCTTTTCCAGGAACCATTCACATTTGCATCTCCTAAAGCAGGACACATCACCATTGTGCTTTCGCTTCCGCTTGAAACACGCACACACACACACACACACACACACACACACACACACACACACACACACACACACACACACACACACACACACACACACACACACACACACACACACACACACACACACACACACACACACACACACACACACACACACACACACACACACACACACACACACACACACACACACACACACACACACACACACACACACACACACACACACACACACACACACACACACACACACACACACACACACACACACACACACACACACACACACACACACACACACACACACACACACACACACACACACACACACACACACACACACACACACACACACACACACACACACACACACACACACACACACACACACACACACACACACACACACACACACACACACACACACACACACACACACACACACACACACACACACACACACACACACACACACACACACACACACACACACACACACACACACACACACACACACACACACACACACACACACACACACACACACACACACACACACACACACACACACACACACACACACACACACACACACACACACACACACACACACACACACACACACACACACACACACACACACACACACACACACACACACACACACACACACACACACACACACACGCACGCCTTGCGCGTAACTATTACCACGCCACGCCCCACACCACGGAGTTTCCATGATTTTTTTTACCTTACCAGCCAACCATACCACCGCCTGCCTTACCACCGCTTTTACCTGCACCCACCACACCCACACCCACACCCACACCCTGCACCACACCCACACCCACCACACCACACCCTGCCCACTTACCACACACTACACCACCACTACACCACCCCACCCACCCACACCCACACCCACACACTACCCCACACCCACCCCACACCCCTTACCACCCACCACACCCACACCACTACACCCACACCCACACCCCACACACCCACCACTACCCACACCACTACACCTACCCACACACCCTACTACCCACCCACTACCCACCCACACCACCCGCTACACTACACCCACATACGCTACGCCACACCACTGCACTTCTACCACACCACACTACGCTACGCTGCACCGCCTTACCTACACACCCACACTACACCCGCTACGCCTACCTTGCTACACCACACCCACCCACACTACGCTACTACTACGCCGCATATACCACATACCTACATACCACGCCACACCCACACGCCACTCACCTGCGCCCACGCTACCCAGCACATTGCCTTGCCTGCCACTGCCCACGCGCCTCACGCCTTCTGCTGCGCCACTCCGCCCCACACCACCACGCCACACCCACACCCACACCCCCACACCACACCACGCCACACCCACCCTGCACCCCACACTACACCACACACCCACACCACCCGCACCCCGCCCCACCTGCCTTCGCCACACCACGCTACGCTACCCACACCACCTTTACACTACACTACCACTACCACCACACCACACTACACTTTATACATACATTACATACACCACACCCACCACCCACTTTTCCAAAAACCCCGCCCCCACCTGACCACACTTATTTAGACACAGATATATACATGTATTTACCTTGCACTGCCCTACACCACGCCACACCCACACCCACTGCCCCACCCCACGCCCACCCACACCCACACCCGCCTGCCACACCGCACCCACCACCTGCCTGCCGCCACCACACTACACCACTACTACACCCGCACCCGCCACGCCCTTGCACACACACACACCCACACCCACCCACCACGCCACACTTCCACTCCACTACTGCCCGCCTGCTACGCCACACACCCACCCACCACACCTGCCCCACGCCCCCGCATACGCACCCCCACACACACCACTACGCCACGCCTCACGCCACTACATACACCACGCCTGCCCACACCGCCCGCTACCTGCCCACGCACCTGCGCTACGCCCACTGCACCCGCCACTACCACCCTACACCACACCACTACCTACCCACCCTTACCTACACTACTGCTACATACACTACGCTACCTGCACTACCTGCTACACTACACGCTACTTCCACCATCGGCAGCAAACATTGCCATGCCTTCTACGTCAACGCACTACCAATACACTACACACATACGCCCCACACTACACACCCACACCCACACACCCCACCCACACCCACCCCTGCACACCACACCCACACCCACACCCACCCCACACCCACACCCACCCCCACACCCACACCCACACCACACCACCACCCATACACCCCACATACACCCACACCACACCCCCACCACACCCCCACCCACTACCACACCACCACACCACTACACCACCCCACACCCACACCCACACACACCCACCCACACCACACACACCCCACACCCCACACCCACCCCACACACACGCCCACACACACGCGCTACATACATATACCCACACCCCACACCCACATACACCCACACCCACACCCACACTACCCCACCCTTACACACCCACCGCACTTCTACTACCCACACTACCCACACCCCACTTAGTTTTTACCGCTACCTACGCTTTACCACACCCACACCACACGCCCACCACACGCCCACCCACGCCCCACGCACCCCCCCCACCCCGCGCCTTCCTATATTCTCTCTGCTCCCCCCCCCCGCCTTCACTCCGCCACCCGCCCTGCGCCCACCACACACCGCACCCACACACACACACCACACCCACACCGCACGCCTACCACCACGCCCCACGCCACTGCCTTGCGCCGCCCCACCCACACCCACCCACACCCACCTACCGCACCCCGCCACACCCACACCCACCACCCACGCACTACACCCACACCTTACACCACACCACCGCGCCATACACACCTTACCACACACACACACATACTACACACACACACACACACATTTACACACCCAACACACACACACACACCCAAACACACACACATGACACACACAGCATGACACACACGCAGCACACACCCACCACACACACACACACATGCCCACCACACACCACACACCACACACCACACCACACACCACGCACCACCAGGCCTGGGCCTGGGCCTGGGCCTGGGCCTGGGCCTGAGCCTGGGCCTGGGCCTGGGCCTAGGCCTGGCCTGGGCCTGGGCACAGGCCTGGGCCTGAGCCTGAGCCTGAGCCTGAAGGCCTGAGCTGGGCCTGAGCCTGAGCGCAGGCTGGAGGGCCTGGGGCGCAGGCCTGAGCCTGGGCCACCAGGCCTGAGCCTGAGCCTGAGCCTGAGCCTGGGCCTTTTCCAGGCCTGGGCCTGACCACCCAGGCTGCCTGAGCCTGGAGCGCACGGCAAGCCTCTCGAGCCTGAGGCCTGAGGCCTGAGCCTGGGCCTGAGCCTAGGCCTGAGCCACAGGCCTGAGCCACGCCTGAGCTGGGCACGGGCACTGCACAGAGCACAGGCCTGAGCCTGAGCCTGTACCTGAGCCATAGACACAGGCCAGGTGTGGATCATGGGCCTGGGCACAGGCCTGAGCCTGAGCCTGAGCCTGGGCCTTCAGCACCACACCAACACCAACACAAACACAAACACAAACCACAAACACAAACACAAACACAAACACAAACACAACCACAAACACGAAACACAGAAACAAACACAAACACAAACACAAACACAAACCTAAACACAAACACAAACACAAACACAAACACAAACACAAACACAACCACAAACACAAACACAAACACAAACACAAACACAAACACAAACACAAACACAAACACAAGCACAAGCACAAGCACAAGCACAAGCACAAGCACAAGAAAGCACAAGCACAAGCACAAGCACAAGCAGAAGCACAAGCACAAGCACAAGCACAAGCACAAGCACAAGCTACAAGCACAAGCACAAGCACAAGCCCAAGAAGCTGAGCCAGAAAGCCCAAGCCCAAACCCAAACCCAAAGCACAAGCACAAGCACAGCTTTAAACGCACAAGCACAAGCACACAAGCTGCAGCACAGCACAAGCACAAGCACAAGCACAAGCACAAGCACAAGCACAAGCACAAGCACAAGCACAAGCACAAAGCACAAACACAAACACAAACACAAACACAAACACAAACACAAACACAAACACAAACACAAACACAGGCACAGAAACATAAGCAAACACAAACACAAACACAAACACAAACACAAACACAAACACAAACACAAACACAGCCACAGCCACAGCCACAGCCACAGCCACAGCCACAGCCACAGCCACAGCCACAGCCTGGCTACCCAATACAGCCACAGCCACAACCCACAACCACAGCCACAACCACAACCACAACCACAACTACAACCACAGACACAGACACAGACACGGAACACAGACACAGACACAGACACAGACAAAAATACAGAAAGACACAGACACAGACACAGACACAGACACAGACACAGACACAGACACAGACACAGACACAGACACAGACCTGAGCCTGAGCCACAAAGGCAAGACCCCAGACCACAGACACAGACACAGACACAGACACGGAGCAGACACAGACACAGACACAGACACAGACACAGACACAGACACAGACACAGACACAGACACAGACACAGACACACACACACACAAACACACACACACACACAAAACACACACAAACCGCCAAACACAGCAAACACACTTAAACATAAACACAAGCACACACACAAACTACAACACACAAACACACAAACACAAACACACACACACACAAACACAAACACACACACACGGAACTGCAAGCACAAACACACAAGCACACACACACACACAAACACACAAACACACAAACCTTACAAACACACACACACAAACACAAACACAAACACAAACATGCAAACACAAAGCACAGGAACACACACAAACACACACAAACACACACACAAACACACACACAAGCACACACACACAAACACACACAAACACACACACACACAAACACACACACACACACAAACACACACACAAACACACAAACACACACACACAAACACACACACACACACAAACACACACACAAACACACACACAAACACACACACAAACACACACAACCACACACACACAAACACACACACAAACACACACACACACACACACACGCAAACACACACAAACACACACACACACACAAACACACACACAAACACACACACAAACACACACAAACACACACACACACACAGAAACACACACACACAAACACACACAGACACACACGAGACACACACACACACACAAGCATACACACAAGCACACACAATACACACACAGTACACACAAACACACACAAGCACACACAAGCACAGACACACGAACTGGCTTAGCAGCACACACAAACACACACAAACACACACACACACACACACTGAAACTGACACACACTGACACACACAAACACACACACAAACACACACAAACACACACACAAACACACACAAGCACACTGAAACCACTGAAACACTTTGCTAGAGCACACTGAGACACGCCACACAAACACACACACACACACAGGCACACACAGGCACACAAACTACACAAAACACACACACAGGCACACACAGGCACACAAACACACACACACACATACGCGGCTTTTGCACACCCACACACACACACACGGCGGCGCACACGCAGGTGCGCACTGGGCCTGGGCCTGAGCTGAGGAGCCTGGAGCCTGCAAGGCCACTGGAGGCTGAGCCTGAGCTGCACAGAGGCTGGGCCTGGGCCACAGGCAAAAACTGACACTGAAGCCTGAGCCTGCACAAACCTAAGCCTGGGCACTGAGCTGGAGCCTGGGCTCAGACCTGGGCCTGGGCTGCACAGGCCTGGGCCTGGTGCGCAGGCCTAGGCCTGGGCCTTGCGGGCCTGGGCCTGGGCCTGGGCCTGGAGCGCACAGGCCTTGCACTGGGCCTGAGCCTGGGCCTGGGCACAGGCCTGGAGCACTGAAACACGGAAAAAGTACTTGACACACACTTTGCTGGAGCTGCACAGACACACACACACACACAGACACTGGAGCACACGCACGCACAGGCGCACGACCCACTGAGCACTGGGACACACGCACACACAGACACACACTGGGCCTGGGCACAGACACACTGGGCACACAGAGCACGCACACACACACACACACACACACACACACACACACACACACACACACACACACACACACACACACACACACACACACACACACACACACACACACACACACACACACACACACACACACACACACACACACACACACACACACACACACACACACACACACACACACACACACACACACACACACACACACACACACACACACACACACACACACACACACACACACACTGCGCACGCACACACACACACACACACGCACACGCACACGCACACGCACACGCACACGCACACACCCACACATACACACACCCACACATACAAAACAACCGATTTACAAAACAACCGATTTTTTTTTGCCAAGCAGCAGTGGGCATGCGAAAACGCTGAGTGCGAAGGCTTTCATGCAATCCCAACCTCAGCACGGCTTTTCAAATTCTCAACTGCAGGCCCCGCCTTGTTTGCAGCAAGCCAGGAATGCCGATTTCCCCTCAGTGAAGGAGGACCAAGGCACGAGCTCTTTCCTGCAGGAGGGTGCAGTGTCACCATGACTTGACAGACTCAACCGCGAGTCTTGTTTTCCTGGGAGCGTAGGCGCGGCGTAGGCAAGCTCTGTTTCTTAACTGGAGCCTTCTGCCCAGCATTTGCCTAGGCCCTCCCGGCGTGTCTTGGATCAGGCACCGGTAGCAAGACCAGAGTCCCGAACTCGAAACCGAGATGTGGGGCTATGTCAATGAGACACCGTCTCAAACCCGGTTGATGGGCATAAGACTTCTCAAGTCATTTCCACCACAAGCCTTCCAGTCAAGATTCATACCTTTGCGTCAAAACCAGAAGGAACCAAACATTTGCAGGTGTACGACTCGTCTTGACACGCATCCAGAAGAGCGCTTGCTTTTGATGTGATCACAAGGAATTACACACTGTTGCCTCTTGGAGGACGTGGACCGCCACACCGGCTTGACCCTCTTACTGGGAGCAATTCACTTGTGTTGGGTTCCTGCCCCCGCCTTTTTGACTCCTAGCCCTGGGACTCTTGCAACTTTGGTCACTCGCAGGAGAGCGGAGAGCGCTGGTGGGCGTCCCACACCCTTTGGCGCGGCCGTGGTCCGAGAAAGCTGCCGCGGCCGCCTTAGCTGTCAGGAAGGCTTTGGGGCTTCTTTAGTGCAAGCGCAGTCAGACCGGATTAGTGGAGCCTGGAGCATGTGCACTGTCCAGTTCTACAACGTGCTTTTTCATTCAGCCAGCCCGGTTCTTTGGAGAATCCCCACACAGGGTTGAGATAGGTTTCAGGAATGCTGGTACCGGAAATGATTGAAGCGTAAATCGCAGCTTGACGCCGCAATGTAGCTGCGACGTGCCATAGCTTCAAGCAGGCTCAGGCAGCAAAGCACGGATTCAACAGTTTGCCCATGCAGATCGGATTTGGGTGGTTGAGGTGAGCCCTCCCAGCGCATGTTGCGTAGGTTTCAGTGAGCTCGTCTTTTTCCGGGTGCCCGCTGCGCAAAAAAGATCAGGGGCTGGCCGAGGTTCTTGCAAGCCAAGGCGCCAGGCGGGGCCGAGCATTGGGGGGACCGGAATCGGTGGGTTTCATTTCCATTTCAAAAGCGTCCCCAAAAAGACCGTCTATGCCCACAAACATGGCATCTGCCCACCTGATCCGGATTTGAACTCTAGACATCTCTAGACGGATATGCAACTCCCCGAAATGTGTAGCTTTCTTTGGTGTCCCTTGAAAACCATCCAAAAGGCACCGATTCCACAAAATGACACACCCAACAGAGGGATTTCCAAAGCCAGCGCAGATTTCAACGCACGGCTTCCCGCGAGGCGAGGCGGCTGTCAAAGCCAGTGCCGGGCTTAGCCACTTCTCATTGCTCTCTTGAGCACCTTCACCGCTTTCTTGTTGGCGAAATGTGAGGCCTAAAATCTGGACCTTAAGAAACTGGAAGACAATCTCCCACCGGGCTTTGGGGGATCGGAGACCTCGAGTTGATGAGTTTCAAAGGTCCTGGATTCTTTAGAGGCAATACCCGCCTCAAACGGCCTTGCGACTTGCAGGTAGCAAACCTCGCAGCGAGCAACCGGAGCAGAGGCGCGCGGCTTCCGGGCTTGGGTCGAGAGGTTGGGAGGCGGGAAGTCCCTCAGAGGCGCGTGGCTGTGAACAGTGCCCCCAGAACCCCACATGACGTCGAGGACTGCTCGGACATACGGAACCTCGAAACCCGACTCTTCGACCTTTTGGTTTCCCGGGTCAGGTTTGGTTTTTTGTTGGTGCGAGGCAGATTTTCTCCCGGGCTCGGAGAGACTCGCTTGCGAAGGCTGCCTCTTTCGCCCAAGAGCGCTAAGAGTACCGCTTGGTCTCAGGTTGGAGGAGCGAGTGCCAAGTGCAGCGCCTTGCAGTGCTTTGGCAACGGGGCTAAGACATGGGCGGTTGTCCTGTTGCTTTCTTTGAACCAACCTGAAGGGGGTACCCAACGGGAAATTTGAAGAGACCCGTGTCAAAGGCACACTGGCCATGGAAACCAACCGGCACCCGTGGCAGCCAATTCAGCTTGGTTGCCGTTGAACCGGGGGCTCCACACGGTCATGTATCTTTTTGTTTGAGCCACCATCTTGGCGGGCGAAATGTTCGAAGCCTTCTTTGACAATTGATATCTCTAAACATGCAAAATTGACCACTGGGCACGTGTCAAACCGAAAACACCGGCGTGTCGCCGACCACTTGCTGGGGAAAGCCCCTTTCACGTGGCCAGTTTGGGGGCGCTCGAGCTCGATGTCATCGCGAGGAGCAGACAAGGACATCGCCGTCGCCCTGGTCAGGGCCCGCTCGCGGACGGAGAGTGCGCCTTGGGCCGCACAGTCTTTGGGCCTTGCGCAGAGACGGGCTGAGTGGGTGACCAACTCGGGTGCTGTCAACAAAGTTTTTGCAGTTTGCTTGGCTTTGTGGCCTTTCTGAAGGTATGTTGAGGCCTATTCTATGTTGTGGGGATGACGCTAGGTTCGTCTTTGTTGTTGTCATTGCTCATAATTTGTTCACCTCTGTTTAGTTGTGGGAGACCGGCTGAGCTGACAGCTTTGGCTGCAGATGCCTCAGCGTTGCACGTGTGCCATGGCTGACCTTCCTGTGCTTGGGAGCAAAAGAGCAACCGTCAGAAGCATGCAGCATGTCTGTCAAAGGCACCTCCCATGGTTAAAGCCATGACTGTTGCAGGCAGGGAATGGGTTTCCGCAAGGTTGGAGTACCTGAGAATATCCAGATATTATCCTAGCTGTATTAGCTAGGGTTGTTTCCCGGAGCAGATCCGGTTTAGGTTCAGAAGTCAAGTTCTCGAAACAATGCGTGCCCTTGCGGGTCAACCCGAAAATAACGACATTTGGTGCCCCGAAGAGGTGCCGGGTCCCCCCCACCCCGCCCCAGAAAAAGGGTTGAGCACTTCGCGCCAAGCCGCCAGAAGAAAGATGTGTTCGCGGATGGCGCGGTGGACAGCAACATACACCAACCCTACAAAAGGCCGGGTGGTATCAACACCTAAACATGGCCCCGTTTGTCCAGGTCTTTTATGAGGATGATGAGGAGAAGCCCCACTTCGAGCTGTACAGGTCGGGCAGCCGCTACCGGAGGCAGCTTTCTGAATGGGGCAGGGGGGTGGAGGTGGGACCGTGCCGGCCGCCAGCTAGTTGGCTGAATGAAAAGCGAAAACACCTGGCTTCCCTTCAATCATCCACAAGCGGTTCAACACCTGTCCACAAGCGGTTCTTGATTTAGGACACTCGTTTTGGCCTCCGGTACTGGAGTCCTGGGGTCTTTTCCCTCCACCTTTTTCCCCTTCTTGCTGGTCCCTGGTCCGTGGGGGCATCGAAGCAACGCCGGAGGCACATCACAATGACCGAGCGCAAGCGAAATCACGCGGCGCGGCCACTCAGAGGGTCCGCTGTTCAGCCAATAGTTGGGATTTGTCTTTGTGAAACTATCCAATTTTCATCGGGAGAAGCGTCTTTGAAGGGAAACACGTGGGGGTGGGTGTTTTCACAGGCATTGTCAAGGGTGAGTGCCCCCTGTATGTTGACACAAGCTCTCCACCAACTTCGATAAAAGTTTCCTGAAACCCTTGTTGGGGTCAACTACTGTACTTGTTACAATCCCTCTTTTGGATCTCTCCCTTTTTGAAGGCGGCACAGAAATGTCACCAGTCCCAAAAAGGTCTCCTAGCGTGGACGGGGGTGGTTACTGCATGATGGTGATGGGAGCATTGCCCAGGGGTTCTGTTGCGCCTTGCTACGACACGATAGCCCTCAAGGGGTTTGAGGGTTATCGTTGTGTGTTCTCAGCATTGGTTTCCAGGACCCTCGAGATTCGAGGGTTTGCAGAAGGGTCATAAAGTTGACCCTTGGGCCCATCTTAGAATTCCTGTCAGGGTCCTGAATTCTGGGACGGTTCTAAGGGGCTGAACAGAACCCGCGTGATCCCACTTGAGTCTTTCTGTGACGAGGGTTTCTCTGGATGAGTTTCGGGGACTTGGATCGGCGAGCGCTTTAGCTCCGAACATCCGAGGCGGCGCTGGCGAAGGACAAGGCCTATGTCAAGGCGCTCCTCAAGGAGGCCCAGCCGGAGCGCGATGCGAGAATTTCGGGGGAGGCCCTAAGCTTCGAGAAGCGGTCTGTTTTGGTTCAAGGGAAACTGAAAGACCACCGAATGGCGCTTTGAAGTAATCTTGATTGTGGCTGTTTCCAGGGACAAAATCAGAGTTTGTTTCTGTCAAATCTACCGCTTGAGGTTGACCCATGATCAAACAAATGCCCTGTGATTCATCACAACGGGTCAAGATCCCTGTTTGGACGGACTGCTTTTATCCAGGGGAAGGACGGAATCCCCGTGATGAATCGGGGGGTTGCTTTGCCAGGGATCAGCAGTAACGTCACTGCCCGGCTTTCACCCAAGTGACACTTAGATCTCTGATGAGAACTTGCCTTTTTCCTCTCAATGCTGCACGAGGTCATGAATACGAGAGCGCCTGAGGATCAACTTAGGTCTCATTCTCTTGGCCGCAGGAAAGTTTGAGTTCATCTCTGAGGTTTGCAGGCCGACTCGTTCAGCAGAATGAGTCATTCCTACGGCGCTCTTCCTTTGGACTTGCGGAATTTGTTTGGAGAACAACCGTGGCAACACAGCAGGAAATTGCACTCGCTTTCCGGGGAAGATGCAATTGGCTGGGAGGTGTGTCGTGTGCAACCCTTGCTTGTCCCGAAGGGAGTCCGTCCTCGGGACTCCAGGGTCAACTACGACCATTGCAAAGGTTTGTTTGAAGGAACCAATGGCCATAGCAGGCAGCTGGCATGCTTCGGCTCTTGGCCAGGGCCGAGAGAAGCCGGAGCAGCGCAAAGAGAGGGAGCAGGCCATTGACAGTCACTGGCCAGGGGCCCAGGGGAAGCTCCCTTCTTGGCAGGTTTAGCCTGGATTTGGCGGGTTTGGGCGGACGTGCGAGGTTTGGGTTTGGTATGTATTTGGCTTTGTGGGTCTAGGGGTTCGGAGTTGAGAGGCGCAAATCAGGTCTTTCTTTCGGTTTTGCTTCTTGCTAGTTGTGTTGCTTTTGCTTGTTTAGCCAGCGCGGACTACTGAATTATCAGGTTTGGAAAGAGGCAATTTGTTGTGATTGGGACATCGGCAACTCGGGTTGTGGCGGTTACGGCTTTGCTGGAGTGGGCCTTCGCAGTGGGTTTGGCGATGGAGACTTCGTGGGCACACTGCTGCGCAATCGGCGTGGCTTTGGTTTGGCCTGGTGCGCGTGTATGATTGCCAGCTAATCTGTTTGTACATTTGGCCGCAGAATAGCTATCATCCTTAAATCATGAGGTGGTTTGGGGTTTAGTTGCTGGAAGAATCTTGGGTTCTATTGATTGAGCACAACCAGGAACAAACAAGCATCTCTTAAGTGCGAACTGCATGAATCCGTAGTATGCCCCCCTGATAGGAGCGTGTTTTGTAGGCTGATTGAGAGAGATCACCAATGGGAAGCCCGCCAAAGTAATTCCCCCCAAGGTAACAAAAAAGAAAACGAACAAACAAATTATTCGCACACGAAGACATGCTCGGGCCCCCTTTTTGGCCGGAGGCTGGCTGCCGCCTTTGCTCCGGTCCCGGACCCTTGGAGCTATCTGCCAGCCGCCCTGTCGGGGTCTCGGGCGGTGCTCGAAGCTCTGGGATATCTGCCCATGTGGGTCTCATTTGCATGTGCTTTAAAGGGGAATGGTCATGACTGGTAGATGCTATGTGTTTTAGTGTTATGCAAATTGAAGTATGGACATTGGAAGGCAGTTTGCAACACGTTTCTGACATTGAACCATGGGGTCATGGCTCGTCTAACCAACCAGGTTTCGTTTGTTTGAGCCTATCCCAACAAATATTGGACATGCAGTCCTTGCAGAGAGCCGATCTTCTCCAAAGCAAGGGTTTTCCAAACAACTAACAAACAGCATGTTTTCCGCTTTTGAGATCTTCACTTGGACCAAGCATCGCTTGGATGATTCTTCCAATTAACCTCCCCAGTGGAGTTTTGGCTTCTTTTGGATTTCCCTTTAAGCACCACCCAACAACGTTGGGAAACACACCGGCCCCTTTGGGGTCGGATCAAAAACCCCAAAAACCCGGTCGGAAGGTCGGGGCCTGGACGCTTGCCACTGGCCAGGCAGCAGGTGCCGAGGGGCCAATGGGTATCGGGAGGGCATCAAACTAATGGGCGTGCCTCCGCCTTGTTTTTTCGGGGAACGCCTCCCCCCCCCCTTTTGGTTGGTTTCAATTAAGAGGAAGCCAACAGAAAGACATGCAATTTGTTTGTTTGGGGGTGGGGTGCCCGAATTTTGGGACACACAAAGATGGGTGTTTTCTTAAAGTCTTACATATCGGCGAGCTCCCATGTTGTTACGGTGTTCAAATGACATCTTTTCAAAGGGTCTCTGTTTTTTTTTTGGACACACCCTATCTCCACCAAACTGTGGACAAGCAGGAAGCTGACATTTCACAGCGGCTGCGGGACGATGGGATGATGAACGAAAAGGGCCAGCCCGCCCAGAGTCGGCAGGTGAAGCAGGTGACGGATGTGTCTTGACCTCAGCGTGGGCTCTTTTGCGCCAGTGGGAGGATTTGCCGGCAGCTCACCTGGGGCTAAACAAGCTCACGCATGCAGCGTCCCTTCATGGGGCTTAATGCAGGCTTGGAAGTTACTGAGAATTGTAAAGCAGTGCGCTTGCATGTCGACAAATTGGGACCTACATGGCAATTAGACACGGCAGTTTGGCCTGAAGCTGCTGGCCATATGAGCCATTGTCAAGATTTCCTCCGGCCAATTTGTTTTAATATGCTTTCATTATTCTTGATCTTCTTCTTTGCGTGCGGCATAGCAGAGATTACTCAAGAGGCAACCAGCAAAAATTCAATAAGCAATAAATTATAATGCTTGTTTTGTTGCCTTTCAGCATTGGTTACTTTTTTTTGGTAAATCATATGCAGTCGAGGTTTTTTTCACATTTGGTGGGGGGTAGAGTTCCACTCTCCCCATGAAGCTCGAAACATATGCCGGTGTCCAGCTAACAAAAAAACTTTGGCGGTTCGATCGAGCAGTGGGCGATTCGCCAGTCTTCCACAAGGTGCATCAACAAAGTATTCCTCGGTGCAGCTTTTTAGGGTTCAGCAAAGTACAAACTGGCCGTGCCTGGCTGCTTGTTTGAATGTCCCATTTGCTTATTGCTGGTGTTGGAGACATCCCTTTCACATTTGTTTCGAGTACCAACCCCGCTTTGTATTTCTGGGGAGGATCCGCTCCCCGAAATGGGACGCCTCGAGCCCGAGGTCGGCGATCTCCCGGAGGTCCAGCGCGGCGTCCCAGGTGGATCTCTACGAGATCGCGCTGGAGATCTCCGAGATCCAGGAGCCCGCGGGCGACGGGCGATCTTCGGAGTCGAATCTGGATGGTTGCGGTGGGGGGAAGGGCGGAAGGGCCTTGAAAATGGTGAGGCTTGGCGTTCTCTTTTGCCCGCAAACAATCCAAAGTCCATTTCCCAAATTGCCACTAGGAAATAGAGGTTACTCACCAACATCCGATAGGAGAAACGTTCTCACCTAGACTTGGGGGCATCTCCTTTCATATCAGGTTTTTGCTAGGACTCAGTTGATATTTGAGGCAGAAGTTGATGAAGTTTTGGCCATGTGAACTACGCATAATTTTGTTGAAACGGAATATTGCGCTGGCAAAGGGTAGAAACGGATCGGTTTCTGCACGGAGTCGCACGCACAAAAGCATAGGGGGGTTGGAACCGTAGTAGTCCACCCCGAAGTGATAGGGGAGACAGAGAGGGGCTGGCCCACACCCTGGACACAGGAAGCGCTGAGAGCCTGCAACTTCTTCCACGCGGCGGCCTTAAGGGTAACTCGCTTGCGGGAATCGCAGACTGAGCAACACGGCCCGGCTGTGTGCCTTATGATGAGTATTGCTACTTTTTCAAAGCATCAATGGGGCTTTGCGGCTTTCAGGCGCTCGCGCATGGAGACACGCATAAATAAGCATTTGATTGATGGCAAGGAGGAGATCCTTCGCTGTTGGAGGAAGCCCAATTAGTTCTCCATCTCGGGAGTCCCCTTCACAGAAGCTGAGGGTCTCGGTTTAATTCGAGGTCTGACAGTCTACAAGCAACGGTATGTCTACCTTGTGGAGTTGTTTTGAGGATGAGGTCCCGCTCTGTGTGTGTGGACCACCCCGAGGCGCTGACGGCATCCGGTCCAGGTGCTGGCCTCAGAAGCGGGAAGCGAATGGGATGTCGGAGAGTAGGCCCGTCGGCCTGCTTCTTGTTCTTGTTGGTCGTTTTTGTGCGGTTTTTTGGTGGGGTGAGTATTTTTTCTGCTTCTTGGCCAGGAAGATGCAAGTATGTATGGGGCGGGAGCTGGGGGGTGGACTTCGACCTCAATGCTCAACCAATGCTGAATGGACATCGTGGTCTCCATTGGGCTCGTGGCTCAATGCTCAGCTTGTCGTTCTTTTGCGATCCTAGTTTTTGCGAATCAGGCAACACACAGACACGCCGACCAGCACAACTTCAGACCAACTCGTGAGTAAGAAACAGTCTTTGGCTTGATAATGTGCTAACTATTTGCATGTAGACTAAGGACCATCTTGCGGGCGGTTTAAAGAGGGCTGCTTTGCATTACAGACCAAACGACCTTGAGGGCTCGGCACCTGCCGCGTACCTATGCAACGCTTTGGGCTGGTTTTTCGACAGACCTTACATGCCAGCGCAAACGGAGCTTGCCTAGAGATATTCTTTGTCCATTATTCCGGTTGTTTCATTTGCTGTGTTCCTGGTTTCAGTTCTTTTTTACGCACGTTTTACGTTTGGTATGCTCTCCTGGCTGCTTCAGTGAAATTGTATTTTATGACTTGCGCCCGACAATCCTAAGCGGCCAGGCAGAAAACTTGATGAGCAGGCCTATTACGTAGAGGTTTACAGGAATGACGTTGTAAATGTGCGACAGTATCCATGGCCAGGTGCCGACCCCCCCGTGATGAACAGGCGCGGGCTTTCGCCAGCTATTTGAGCCTGCGGTTTCTTTTCAGGCTCTTGGAAGTTGGTGAACGTCCGCCACCCAAACACCGTGACCTATGCTGAATTTCAGGGTAGTACCGAGAGTGGCTGCCAGGCAGGCCTTTTGTCACCTTGCCTGCGCAGCAGAGGCTGGGCGGGGTGGGGGGGTGTGTCCAAGTTGCGGGGGGCAAAGATCCAACTTTTTAGAGGCTTTCAGGGGTCCAAGTTGCACAAACACAGTGGTTTTTGCAGGTGCCCAAGGCCCAAGGCCAAACAGACGCTGAACCCACCCTCCTTTTGTCACAAGGGTGCCTTTTGCCCGAGTACGTACTTTCGAGGGCGGTTGAGGTAGTCCTGGAGGTATGGTTGTATGCCACTTATGCAAGTGGCACTGACTCACACATCCATAACTCTACCTCCAAAAACCATACATCCCCCGACCCTCTGCCAACCAAGCCTGTACAGTTTAGACTACCTCACTGGAAACTGTCTTGGCCTGTGCATGATTCCCTTAGGTCTCCATGTACCCATTTCATCCCCGGTGGCCATTGCGGCCCGAATCATCTTCGTACAGGCCTTGCGCCACGGTGGTTGCATCTCAAAGCTAAACTAAAAGGGTGCGAGCTGGCTTCGCCATGGGGCATTCGCCTGCCAGGCACTGCTCACCCTGCGTTCGTGCTCAAGGGCATCTTCAGGGAGGTGGGGCTTTGGTCAGCTACCAGCACGCGCTCGCCAGCGGCGCCGACCCCTGGTCTTCTTGGACGTGATCTCTTTGGTCGCTTGGCCTTAGCTGACTTTTGGCATCTGCCGAGCACGCGCTCTCGCGACGCTTTCGCAAACATCGCGGAGGCCCCGGAATTAATCTTCGGCAGGAGCGATGAGAAAGGCCACGGCGCTTGGTCATCCCATGCTGAGACGGCTCGCCACTGACGTGGCGAAGATTCCGCCCGGAAATGGAGGGGTGGGTGTCTTCGTTGGATGTCGAGGCCACCGCCCAGACAACTTAGTTGCTCGCTGATTACGTTGCCAGAGCGGAATCGTCCACCAACGGGGCGAAGAGTTCAAGCCGGAGGACCTGCTGCGCGCGCCGGCTGTCTACATCACAGGCCCCGAGAGGCGAGAGCTACACGGAGACCGCGCCCAACTACCTGTTGAATCCCGTCCTCGTCGTCTATGTTCTCAAGGTTCTCTATCACGCAGCAGTTTTCCAGTGTTCACCTTCTGCTTGCGGGTGGGCCAGTTCTGCTCGCCGTAGTCCTTGTGAAAAATAAGACGAAACATCGCCAGCCTCGCAAGGGCAACCTGTTATCAGGGAGTGTTCAGCCAGAGGCTCATGGAAGTTTCCCAGAACATCACCTTGAAGACCCGTCCTGCAACTGCTTGGAGTGGTAATACTCCGTCCTCCGTGATGTCTGCTAAAGCGTCAGTCGTGCCTTTCAGTCCCACAACCCGTGTGCTCCGCCGCACCGTTGGGCCACGGAGCACCAACCGGGCTTGAGAGTCGCAGAACTCCTCGAACTCTCAGGACACGAATTCACGACCTTGATCGCAGATCTGAGTCCTGGGTGGGCCCATCGCTGCGTGCTCTTGTGCGGGCCTGCCTGCCAGCGGGTGTTGTTGTGGGCGTCATTCACCTTCGCGCGCCTGTCCACCAGTGCCCTGAGGGACTGGTAGCGTCGAACGTTGTCATCGTTCTTTGCAGAGCAGTTGTTTTGCAAGAACTGCCTCAGCTGGGGCGCCACATATGACCAGGGCCCTTGCCAAGCGCTTCACGCTTCTGTGGCCCGTGTTCACACGCAGTTTTGAGGGGAGCCTGTCAGCTTCGTCTGTCTCGCTGTCAGCCTGCGCCACTTGTGTGTCACAAGTGCTTGCCGAACTTGGGGTTCACGTCGTCTGGTTGAACTGATTCTCCAAGGCGGCGATTCATGGGGTAGTGGGCGGCTGGCCAGGTGATTCGACTGCCACCGATCGTGCTGGTGATCGCCAGAACCAGCGACTCAGCAGACTGCCTGGCTGGAAGGCACCGAGCTGCGCAGATCAACGGTATGGTGTGCGCATTGTCCTCGTTCATCAAATCTCGCAGCTCATCTAACTTCCAGGCTTCACAAGTCAAAGGGTTCTCGACGATGAAGCTCTGACCTCCACAAAGTTGATCACGAGCAAGCACCTTACGGTGGTGACCCTCTACCAGCACTTCCGGCAGCGGTGCAACAGCTTGAGCCTCAAGCGCAACCAGGTTTTGCACTCAAACGGAGTTGTTGCAGCGCTTCAACCCGGACGCAAACTCCACCTCGGCAAGGTGGACCTCGCGAAGGTCCGGGTTTGCAAATCTCTGGAAGGCTCAGATGCACCGCGGCGCTGGTGGGTGCGAACAAGCAGGAATGTCCTCGACAAGCTTGGTTTTCCTGGTGAGGTGATCAGCTTGCCGGGCATGATAGTTGCTCGAAACAGATGACCTGCTGTTGGGTGGCAACAAGCTGGCGGAGGAGCCTCACGCGGATCGGCAAGGAGCTCGGTTTGGGAGTTTGGGGCAAGGATCCTTTCAGTGGAGCAGGCGGCGCGCAGATGGAACTGTAAGGCTGAGCATGATGGAGCGCAGGGCAAACTTCAGTTGGGTGATCCTGGACGCTCAGCTACGTTTTGAAATGGCTTGCTCCGTGTCCAGCGCGCAGGGTGAAGCGGCATCATGGTTATCACCGACGCGGCTCTTGGGAATGTCTTCAGTTAGGGCAGCCCCCTGGATCCAGAGATCAAGTTTTTCAGAAGCGTTTGGCTCTCACCCTCGCCTGGATGAGAGCGTTACCTCACAAGAGCAACGCTGGCCTGAAGTGGACTTCGACTGAACACAGGTGGGTCGACGCTGCCGGACTTGAGGTGAGTGGTCGACGTCCTACTGTCCGGGCTTTGTGAAGCAGTCCGTTGCTTCTCCATCTGATGCGGCTGTGTGAGCAACGTGGCTGGCACTCTTTCAACGGTGCTGGAGTGAATGTGGCGTCAAACGCCAAACCCCCAGCCACACACACAGGTGAGGTTGAGTGGCGATATTTGGAGCGCGATGTACAGTCTGCGCAGCGTGATCGGACCGTACCGATCTTGGTCACGCCTCTAACCACGTGCAGTGTGTGGAACCTTTGCCGGCGCTAATGGTTCACTGCAACAAAAGATAATGTTCCGCTGTGAAACAGCAGCCCTTGCAGTGACCATCCAGCATGTACCCATTTCATCCCCGGTGGCCATTGCGGCCCGAATCATCTTTGCACAGGCCTTGCGCCACGGTGGTTGCATCTCAAAGCTAAACTAAAAGGGTGCCAGCTGGCTTCGCCATGGGGCGTTGCCTGCGGACTCCTTGGCTCCACAGACCTCTTTGGAGCAAAGCTGCCAAACTTCAACCGCCCAGGGCTTTGCGTCTGTGGAGGGCGGGCCGCCGCGGCTCAGCGGGGGTGCCCGGCCCATCAGTTTTGCGACACTTTCTACCGCTCCTTGCGGGCTCCCTACATTGCCCCTTTGATTGATTGAAGCGCCTGGTCCACAAGTTGCTTCAAGCGGGGCCCAAGATGGGCCCTGCAGGGACTCCCATTAAAAGTTGTAAAGTTTTGGGAAGTATCACGGGTTATTTTCCAGCGTTGTGGCCAAAAGCTTGTATGTGTGTCGAAATCTATGTTAGATCGACTTTCTGGTAGCCAAAGGGAACAAAGGGAAACCTGGGCTGGTAGCGGCACTTGCACATTTTTCAGCCTGAGCCGTGCCCATCGCCCCAGTTGAAAACAAGTGTCCGCTTTGGACGCGGTGTGCAGACTCCCCCCGAAAGTCTGGTACGTGCCGCTTTGATTGCAGTGATGTGGCGGTCGCTTGGCCACTTTCAGCATTGGGTTCAGGCATTTCTTGAGTTCTTGCACCGGCAACAAAGGACTCGGACCTGGTCGCCCACCGCACACTGAGGGCGGGCAGCAAGGCATTTCGACAGCCTGGCCGAGCAGATCTTCGCGCTGGCCCTGGGATGGCTTTCGGCGAAGTCTTCGGCCGGGCCCCACTTCCGAGATACTGTCAAGAGGAAACCAAAAGGAAACCAACCAGCCCATCATTCGAAGTTTTCGCAAAGGGAAACCAAAAGGGATGATGAGTTTTAAACTTCTTCCGACCCCAGAATTAGCACCCTGGCGATAACAAGACTCGGCTAGGGGTTTCTTTGCCCAGTTTGTGAATCATAGAAGTTTGTCAGGTGTGTTGGGGAATTCAGGCCCAAGGCCGTGCAGCAGGGCCCACCTGAGTTGCCGACAATTTGGAGGGGGTCCCGAAGACTGAAAGATGAACACGGGACTGAGGTGAAAGGCAGCGGAGCGACATGGTCAGGCATCCCACTGCTGGACTGCAGGCCCGAGCTTTGAACGCATATCCAACAGATCGGCCCATGGAATGTGGCTTGTATAGTGCGATCATCCTGCTTGTTTATTTTGAGGATGGCATTGGAGCAATGCTTTTTTGGAAGGAACGCAGGTGTTGGAAAGCTTTATTGAGGGCTTTTGAGGTATTGGAAAGCTTTATTGAGGGCTTTTGCCCTGCTCCTCGTCTCCTTGCTACTGCCAGCCCAGCCAGCATGCCAGCTCAGCCAGAACTTTGAGCTTGTAACTCAGTGAGTTTCCTCTAAAAAAAGGGAGGGGTCTGGTTGGAACCGTGCAACGGCACACGGCACAAGCAAACACACACTCACACGCTGTCTTTTCGGTGTCAAGTGTTTGGAAGCTTCGTCTTCACCTGAGCTCAACCACCAATCTAGGGAGTATGCGTCTCAGATTACGGACTCCATCCAGGTGGCTGATGTGCCTGTTGTTTTCCCAGCTCTTGGTTTGCTTGTGGTTTAACCCTTGTTCACCATTGAGGTTCGAGCGAGGGTCTTTTCAAAGGAGACATTATCCTCACTGGCACACGAACATGATGCATGATATAAAAGGCGTGTGTACTGTCACATAAGTTCGCAGATCTTGTAAATTCACCTTTGGGGCCATGTTTATCAAGTTCCTGCCAGTGGGGCGGTGTTTCAGTCGGAAACAGACGGACGCCTTGGCATCTTTATGAAAGGAAGCCAAGAGACACATACAATTTCCTTCACGGGTTCCCTCACACAGGACGCCCAGCGTGGAGAACACACCCATGGCGCGGCTCTTTGCAAAGATCGTGCAGGTGGGGCAATCTGAGTCCTGCTCTTGATAGCAGGCGGTTGCCGCATCAGGCCAGTCGCACCGAAAATAAAGGAAGGTGCAACGAGTTGTACAGCACCTGCTCCAAGGGAATCCCCCTTCAAATGACAAACTAGTCGCACGATTCCCGGCCGATCGCACCAAAGGATTGCGGGACATCGACTGCTTTCGGATTGCGGAACATCGATCGCTTTCTCGGGGGTCCGCTCTCTGAGGATATCGCTCAAGACCTCGAGCAGGACTTCGCGGACCTGGACTGTGTGGCCCAGCGAGGCGTGGCACCGCTCGGTGGGATGGTGGGAGTGAGGTGGGGAAGGTGCCTGGGCTGGGGCAGATGCTTCGTGACAACATGTTGGTGATGAAGCTGATGAAGCCTTTCTTTCGTGTTTCGAAGGTTGGTTGGAGGCGGCCTGTTTGGACTTTGGAGGGCAACCCTAAAACCAACCTTGAAATCCCAGACGAATGTTCCGGTGATGAGTTGTGGCGCATTCCATCATTTGAGAGACGATGGTTGTTCCTTACAAATTGATGCATAGAGCTGCTCGAATCCAACGGCAAATTGGTCGTTCCGCTCTTGTGCGCTCTTGTGCCTCCAGCGGTTCCATTTTTTGCCTGAAAGAGGTTTCTCCAGCATTGCTGTGATCAGTTGCCCGTGCTGTTACCTTGTCGCTGTGCTGGAAGAGGAGGTGGATCGTTGTTTGTTGGCTGCCTGTCACCCTGCCTCCCTGCCTTCCTTTCTTTCTGCATCGGCACGCTGAGCTTAGCATGGCTTCTTTTCAAAGCTAGCAAGGAACGTGCAACAATCGTCTTAAGCAACTGGACGTCTTGTGTGGCACCTGGCGAACAAGATGACAAGGTGGAGGGAGGCCAGGCCAGGTGATATGAAGGATCAGCCCATCTTTGAAAATTGGGCACCTGCTTGTCCGCAATCCGAACCACGGACTAGTTTGGACTCATTCCCCCAAACAGGAATGGGACATGTAGGGCTGCCCCCGCCTTGTGTGGTTAGAATTTGGAACCAGACTACACTGTACACACAATGAATCAGGGTTGCATCCAAAATTGATAGGTTACAAAGACAGCTCTCAATTGTCCATCGAGAATGTGTCCAGACCGGTTTGGGACAGCTTCACACTCCTTTTGCCTCTCACAACCGCCCAATCAATGACCGATTTATTGGCAATAATTCGTCCTTTTACCTCTTTTTGGCTTCTGGACGCACGCAAAAGCAACATGGTAGGGCTATTCAGCTGCCTTGCGGAAAAGCTGCGCTCGCAGGGCGGGCGGAGTATCATGCGAGGGGCCGCGTCTTCGCGCGGCTGCTGCCGCAGGCGCCGATGGCGGCCAGGGAGAGGGCCCGTGAGTTTGGAGGTTCTCAAAGTCAATGACTTGGAGAGTAGGTGAAATATTGAGCCCTGGAGGGGTTGGAGTGGGGGTTGGCCCCATGGCTCCGTGGAAAGCCAGCGATTGAGGCGTCCAAATACGGCGCTCTGCGGGGGCTGTTCCTCAGCCAGCAGATGGACCGCTTGCGGAGGACCTGGGCGCAGGATGAGGCCCAGGGGCACTGGGAAAGGCCTAGAGTCGTAGATAGGGGGATTTGGTTCAGGCGAAGAACGAGGAGCTGGAGCGGGAGCGGGAGAAAGAGGCCTGAGCGGGGGATGGGCTGATTTTCAGGGCAGCAAGTGAGAAGCTAGGATCATTGCTATCTGCCAAGGGCAGATAAGAGCAATGCTTTTGGCAGGTGTCAAGCTCAGTGCTTAGGCTGCTCCGGAGCGGAACGAGAGGAGCGAGCGTCACGACCGACGTGCCGGCCGCGCCGGCTCCTTGGGTGGGCTGACTGGCAATGGGTGGTACTGTGGGGTAGGCAAAGGAATCGTCAGGCGGAATTCACAGGTGCATCGGTGCATGGGTGTATCCAGCGGCAATGACTCGTGGCCTGGTCGTTCAACCCTGGGGCATCTCATTATTTATTTTATATTTCAATTTCATGTTCATTTTAGTTTCCAACAAGGGAACTCGAGACGTTGAGTTAAATTTTCCCTTTGACTTCATGCACCAAAGTGGGCCCTGAAATTTGAGAATTTCGGAAGCACTGTCACAATCAACAAAGCAAATCATATTTCACTATGTCCTTTCCTCCAATCATTCCCCATCCACATGTATTTCCTCTTTTCAACCAGAAAGAGCGGCCCTCCCTCGCCCTTGCCCCTCTTCTTCCATGCCAAACGACGCGATCCAATTCCGAGGCGCGCAGCCCAAAGTCGAGGGGCCAGGGCCCCGGACAATTCAGTCAAACTTGAAGGCTTTGATTCGTTGGGACAAGAGACATTTTCGATGGTCGGAGGGTGTCGATTCACAAAGCTGGCCTTTCTCATTTAGTTTTCAGAAAGCGCTACCGGGAAATCAGCAAAGTATGGCAAGAGCTCAGTTTTGTCCCCTGGGAAGCAGTGAGTTGCTTCAACTGCTTCTGTTCTCCGGTTCAAATCGGTTGGGGTTACCGCGGCCAATGAAAGTTATGTGGCCTTCTTGCGAACAGGCGGGTTCTTCAGATCGAGGGTCCCAAAAATGATCAGTAGAAAGCATGCGTTTTTCCATTCCGAAAGTTGGGGAGCCCTAAATGGGCGGCTTCCATTTCCTTTCCCATTCGGAGATTCCGAACTAGTTGTTTTGCCTCTAGTTGAAAACACCCCCAAAAAGGGCACCTCCGAAAGGACACATCCATCCACTTTCTGTCCCTTACAAACGTATAAGCCGGGTAACATCCCCAACGCAAACAACAGCTGGGGGTTTTGCTCGCGTTCGCACCAAGGCCACGCGGCCGGCATCAAGGTGCCGCTGGGGCAAACAGAACCCAATCTTTGCATCAGAGACTGGCCTTAGCTACTCAGCCTTTCGTCTGAGACAATCTGTCAGCCTCGGGCAATTTCGTCATATGTCATATGCCTTCTTCGGAAAACCAACATTGCTACATGGGATGCTGAACTGACCTTCAGCGACGAGACAATGCGCCCCGCAAGCCAACCAAAACTTGGCAAAGCAAGCCATTGGCTCATTTGGCAAAGCAGTCACGTCTCGCCCCAGGAGACGCCCTTTGTGGCACAGGTGGTGTTGATGGAGGCGCCTCAGGCGGGACGTTGGTCGAGCAGGCGGACAGGGTCAAGCAGGCCGAGCAAGGCCGACGTGGGTCAAGCAGGCCGACAGGGTCAAGCAGGCCGAGCAAGGCCGACGTGGGTCGAGCAGGCGGACAGGGTCAAGCAGGCCGAGCAAGGCCGACATGGGTCAAGCAGGCCGACAGGGTCAAGCAGGCCGAGCAAGGCCGACGTGGGTGGAGCAGGCCGACTAGGGTCAGGCAGGCCGAGCAAGACTGGATATACTGAGAGAAAGATGAATCTGGCATGTAGACAGATAGGTAGGTAGATAGACGGATTGATATCCGTGTAGATAGGTGGATAGATAGATAGACAGACAGACAGGTAGGTAGATAGATGAATAGGTAGACAGAGAGATATATAGGAAGATCGAAGGATAGACAGCTAGATTTTGTTATAAACATGTTTATGAAGAAGTCAAGTAGATATATAGGAAGATAGATACATTGGAAAGACAAGACACACAGACGGACAGATAGACAGATGGACAGATAGATAAGGGGATAAGCTGATAGATGGATGTAAAGATTGATTGATTGGTTGGATTGATTGAAAGATAGATAGGCTAGATAGATAGGCATTGATAGATCGCTAGCTGGCTGGCTGGCTTGGCTTGCTAGCAAGCTACCCCAGCGAGCTGGCTAGATAGATACGTAGATAGATAGACAGGTTAGAAAGATTAAAGAGAGAGAGGAGAGAGAGAGAGAGAGAGAGAGAGAGAGAGAGAGAGAGAGAGAGAGGCGGAGAGATAGATAGGCAGAAAGGTAGAGACAAACAGAGAGTATGACACAGACAGACAGACAGACAGACAGAGATAGGTGGGTAAGACGATAGATGGGATCGAATCGATAGATTGCTTGCTAGCTAGCTAGGAGGTAGGTAGGTAGGTAGGTAGGTAGGTAGATGGAGGGACAGGTAGAAAGATTAGGGGAGATAGGTACTAGACAGCAAGAGAAACAAACAGATGGCAAGATAAGTTTAGGTAGCAAGCGAACATAGAAGGATGAGTGACAGAGAAGACACATAGGCATATGGGTAAAATGATCTTGCTAGACGTTTTGATAAAAAGGTACGGGTCAGGTAGCTAGATAGACCGGCTGAAAGATGACGTAGAAAAAGACGAATTGACACGAGGGGAGACACATGGACAGATAGATGCATAGATCTCGATAGATGGATAGACAGATAGACCGACGAACAGGTGCATCGATAGATCGATAGATCGATCTGAAGATAGACAGATAGATAGGTAGTTAGGAAAAGAGAGACAAAGAGAGAGAGAGAGAGAGAGAGAGAGAGACAGAGAGAGAGAGAGAGAGAGAGAGGCCAGACGCACGGGTAGGAAAGAAAGAGAAGAGAAAGAGAAAGACGAGACAGACACTGAGCGCGAGAATGAGAAAGCGGAGCAGTTCTTTTGTTAGTGGTTGACGTTCTATGGTGGGGTAGCTTGAGCCGGCGCTTGGACTGAAGCGGGGCTGCCAAAAGTAAGCTTCGTGCATTACGCTGGTTTTGAAGATCCGGCCATCCCAACCCGGCAAAATGCGCTTTGCTCGCGGGTGCATTTTGTGTACCGCGCTTTTGCTGAACAACATCGTTTTTCAAAGTGTACTTTCTGCAAGGGGGCTCTTGCATTGTTCGATCCTGTTTGTGTACTGCGCTTGTCCTCGCAATTTGTGAATTTCGAGCGTGCTACGCTTGCCCAGCGCGGTTGTTTTTTTGGCTGGAGTTGCCACCCTGTACTTTGTGTTTTGCACTAGCGCTGAATAGTTACGATTTTCGCGCCGAGGCTACTGTGAACTTTGTTGCGCATGCAAATGTCGAAGTGTCACGGTTCCGCCTAGCTCGGTATCCCAACCATCCGACCATTCCAACCCCCACCATTTCGGCTGCCGCAAACAACTCGATGAACTTGTGAGATGCGAAAAGTCGGCGTTTTGCAACTGACAAAACACACCCAAACACCCAACCTCCCGACCATGCCCCACCATCCCAACCCGCCCCCGCCGCCCTGACCGCCAATTCGCACTTCCGACCATTCCAACCGCCCCGACCTGGTCTGCCGTGCTCGGCTGTGCTTGCGGTGCTCAGACGCATCCTGCCCACCCGTGCTCCCAGCTGCTCAGCCGTGCTCAGGGGTGCTCATCCAGTACGATTTTACGCGCGAAGTCCTTGCTTTCGAGGGTAAAAAGAACTGAAAGCCGCCCAATTCTCCAGCCACCCAAACTGTCAGGGAAGCCCAGTGCTTCGTTTGGGGTCCCTCAGCCAGGGGAAGGAGACGGACTCTAGCGGAGAACTCTACGCCCATACGCCAGGGAGCCAAGGGGACTCGGCAGTGCGACCGTGGCCGTGACTTCCTTGAATTAAAGACGTATCGTGCAAGCCACCGCTGTGTAGCCTTCGATCGAGGCTGATGCAGATGAAGGGCGAGACTTTGCTGAGTCACCTCTTCGAGCCAGAGGCAAGGCATCTAAGCATGTTCAAAAGTAGAGTCTTCCTTGTTGGGACCCAATTTACTCAAAGGTCCGTCCGTAGATTTCCCTTGTTGGATGGATCTTAAGTATGGCGATTTGGGCCCGTGGACATAGTTCTCTGATTGAAACAAACAACACTGTGTGACCCGCCTGTTGCGGTTTCAGGAAATATTTCAAAGAAATAGTATAGTTTTTTGTAGCTATCTGAAATCGCACAGCAACAACTCGTTGTTGCAGTTTTGTGATTGACACATGTTCAAGACAAACACACTGTGTGTGTGTGTCTGTGTGTCTGTGTGTCTGTTCCGTGTGTCTGTGTGTCTGTGTGCCTGTGTGTCTGTGTGTCTGTGTGTCTGTGTGTCTGTGTGTCTGTGTGTCTGTTCCGTGTGTCTGTGTGTCTGTGTGTCTGTGTGTCTGTGTGTCTGTGTGTCTGTGTGTCTGTGTGTCTGTGTGTCTGTGTGTCTGTGTGTCTGTGTGTCTGTGTGTCTGTTCCGTGTGTCCGTGTGTCCGTGTGTCCGTGTGTCTGTGTGTCTGTGTGTCTGTGTGTCTGTGTGTCTGTGTGTCTGTGTGTCTGTGTGTCTGTGTGTCTGTGTGTCTGTGTGTCTGTGTGTCTGTGTGTCTGTGTGTCTGTGTGTCTGTGTGTCTGTGTGTCTGTGTGTCTGTGTGTCTGTGTGTCTGTGTGTCTGCTGTGTCTGCGTGTCTGTGTGTTCGTTCGTTTGTTTGTTTGTTTGTTTGTTTGGTTGGTTGGTTGCTTGGTTGGTTGGTTGGTTGGTTGATTGTTTTTTGCTTGCTTGCAACTCCAACCAGAGTCATCCCAAAAGCAACAGCGGAGCGGTGGCAAAGATGGCGGGAAGGAGGGTCTCGGTTTGGGTTTTGTGTTCAGTTGGCCCAGCAGCATGATGAGTTGCTCTTTTGCGAAGAATGATGCTGTGTGTTTAGCATTCAAGCGGCCGCTTTGTGGGATTTCCCGAACTTCAGGGCACCATGATTGTGCGGTTTCCGTTTGCTTTTTTGCGAGTTCCCGAGATCCCCAAAAAACACTTGTAAGACATACGATAGATGAATAAGTGTACAGTTGGTTTCCCCGAAACGCAAACATGTGTGTTTTACTTGATGATGAAGCACACGACACATAGACACAGGCCCAAGCATCCAACTTAAGATGGATCAACCAATGCATGCTACGGCTGAAGTGCGACGAAAGTGCGATGGTCAACGCACCTCGGGGTTTGGCGGGATGGTAGTCGACACTTGACACTTGAGGAGAGGTTTAAGTTGCAAGCTTTGGGCCCGTTTAGTTTATTGTCTGCTGCCCTCAAATTGTAAATGGGTTCAAATACACAAGGAATCCCATGTTTTGACCATGTTGGTCCCTGACGGAGGATTGACTCCTGTCAGAATGACCCTTGTCACAAAGGACCACGGTTTGCTGTGCACAGACCCGTGGCAGGAGTTTGTTTCCTCCCACAGGCACGGACGCGTCATTCTCTGTGGCTGCCAACTCTAGAAACACAGAAAGCTGTACACCTCCAACCTGCGGACGTCTTCGCTTTGCACAACTGCAGGTCTTGCGATTCATGGCCGAGACCAGTGCTCTCTTCCAGACCATCTTCAAGGCCTACGTGGACATCCCCCAGGCGACCGGCGAAGGGCGCTTGCCTCAGGTGTGCGTGAAGCGCTGGCTTCCCGGCATGTGGAAGTTCGCGCGTTGCGCCATGGGAGGCCGCGTTTGTTTCGGTCCTGCTTTGTGCGCCGAAGTCTCACTTGCCGAGGCGAAGTTGGTGAGAGAGAGTGTGTGTGCGCGCGCGCCTCTTGTGTGGGCGATTTGTTTGGTTCCTCGATGTGGAGATCAACCCATTTGGGTCCTTTTTCAGTCGGTTTGTCTTTTTGGTAGGCATCAGACCGCTGGTCTTCCACTAGCCTCTTTCTCGGCATGGAGTGATTGAAGGTTGGATGCTCAAGAAACGCGCACAAATGCTGGCGATTGGGAAACAACGCTGGACAAATACACCTGGTTTTGTTGCCTCCTGGGCATGGAGATGAGAAAGATCTCGCCGACGTTTATTTTGTGCTCATTTTTTCCTGGACATATCCAAATGTGTATGGTTGGACATGGATGCCATGAAGCTCAAGGACTCTTTGAGCTTCATACCCACATTCAAAGAAAGGCACCAGCCCACTGCTGAGGCACATGTCTCTGGCAGCCCTGGTGCGCTTCTGTGCGGACTTTGGGCTCTTTCCTCACAAGGTACGTGTTTTTTGTTGTTTTCCTTCTGTGGAGTTTCAGCAAAGACAGGCGTCAACGAAGGACACACCAACAGTGGATTTTCTGAAGGGAAGCCTCCTGGTTCAAATAGATTGCTGAGCATTTTTCCCCTTTGAACACAAGGGAGGTGTCTTTTTCTATTCTGGCCGTAGAACGGGCTTTTGGTAGGCCTGCCGGGCCTTGGTTGGTTGGCTGGCTGGCTGGATGGTTGGTTGGTTGGTTGGTTGGTTGGGGCTGGGTTCTGGCGGTGTAAGAGGTCAGTCACGGTGGGGCTGGGGTTGCTATTGCATTTGTGTCAGGCTGGGCTAGGCAGGATCGGAGCTGTTTTTTGGGCTGAATCTGGGTGGGATTAAATGGGATTTATTGTGGATGTGTGTTTGCCGAGAGCTTATTGCCACTGGGTTCGGGGCAGGTTTAGCACACTTGTCGGGTTTGCTGCAGCGCAGCCGTCCAATAATCTTTCCTCCCCAGTAGCTTCTCAGGAAGCTTTTCGAAGCCTCGTCGTTAGACGGCCGAACAAGCCCAGCTTGGCAGCAACTCGTTTCTGTTCACCCTTTCGACCATTTGTTCTCACCCAAGTCTTTCTTACTAGGTGCCAGTGCCAGTTTGTAAACATTGAACACACGAGGCTGGGTCAAATTTCAAATAGTCTATGGTCCATTTGGAAGGCCGCGCTAAATCTCCCTCAACAAAGGGCACTCAGTCCCATTTTAGTCTTTCTATGTGTTTAGTTGAGAATTCACGGCACGTTTCAGCTGGGTGAAATGGAACCCAACAGCACATTGGTCCCCGTATCGAGGGACACACCGTGACACATCCTTCTCTCTCTCTCTCTTACCTGGCTAGGTGGACTTCAAGACCATCCAGTGGCTCTACAATGAGGAGACTCGTCCTGAGATGCAGGCCCAGGTGCGCCTTTGGGGGGTTCCCGAAACAGAAGGCCGATGCGAAATGGGTGTATCCGAGCACAGCACCTTCTTTGCAAGTGGAGCCAGTTCTTCCAAACTCCCAACCTTTGACCCCCTTCTTTCCTTTCTGTTCATCGGCCTCCGAAATTGGCCACCCTGCCACGACTAGGGACGCCTATAGTTGGGGTCCCCCAGAGAAATGCCATAGGACCCCCCCCCTTTCGGGGCAGGCACGGCGGTGCAGCAGTGCGGGCAGCGCCAGCCCCCAGAGCGCGGGGCCCCTCCTCAAAACAGCTGGGAACTCCGGTCAGCTTTCACTTATAAGACTTAGGCTTCCCTTGGTGTTTGAGGGTTATGGAGTATTTTGAGTTAATTTGAAGCAATTGAGAGGTTGAACATACGTTGGGCTTGCCGTGGTTTCGGCTTGGTTTGGTCAGTTTGGTTGAGAATGGTTGGATTCCACAGGGTTCAGTTCTAATCACTTGTCAGTGCCATGCATTTTTCAGAAATGACAGCTAGGGTTGAAGCCCGCGGGCGGTTTTTTTGAGCAAGCTCGCGTCCTTCGCACCAGTGTTTCTGGGCTTTGCACTTTTGTACCTTTTGGGAAGAGCACCAGAAGGGGAGCGATATGCTACCTGACCCTTCGCAAGACACAGGCCCTTTAGAAACAGCCTTTTAAATACAACCTGCATTGTTAGTCTCCTGCAGTCGACCTTCCAAACCCTCTTAATAGCGGTGTTCAAAATTTTTGCGCCTCACGTGCTTTTTCTGGCCTGTGAGTTTGAGGGGTAATCATTGGTTGAACATCTGACATCTGAATACACAGGAACTTGCAACTGGTAGCAGTCCAATGGCGGCGATCAATGTGGCAGATGGGGAGCCAAATTGGTGTGTGTCAACATTGGGCCCCCCAAAACCATTGTTTCCTTCAAACACACACACACACACCAATATGGGCGGGGGGGGGGGTCATTTTTGGATGACCCCCTTTTGGTTGGCTGTTAGGGAAACTGAAAGGAAGCCAACCGCAAGTCAAGTGGACTCGGAAGTGACCCACTCGGATGTGCATCGAGGCAGTCCGCAGGGCCGCAGGAAGAGGCCCGGGCCTGAGGGCCTGAGAGATTGGGTTGGATGGATTTGGCTTTGTGCGAATTGCGCCAAAAGGGTGCGAAACTTGTTTGGTTAGAATTGGGTTAGGAATGGGCACAGGGTTCGCAACATCCTGGGACGTCCTCTTTTGGGATCATAAAAGAAAGCAGAGAAGGACAGCAGTCATGCTGAGGAACAACTGGGCACTTGGTTCTTCTTTGCTTGGGATTTTCAGACTTGGGGAATGTGGCTGCTTTTCCAAAGGCAGGTCAATCAACAAGGCAGCAAGGTGGTTGAATGTGAACCATGGAACTCTGCAGGTGGCGAGCAAAACTGTGACCGGCTCTTGTTAATCAACTCCCAACACAGATACCATTCAAAGGGAGATCAAGGTGAGGCTATTTTAAGAATCCGGTGGGTGCTCTAGTTTTCGACCGCCGACTCCAGTGCCGCCCCCAAGTTTCACTGTTTCACAAGGTTTCACATGAGCAACCACATCCACATGCAGAGCATGCTTTCGCCAGTGATAGTCAAGACACCGCGTGCATGCGCACGCAACTGAGCTTATGCTACGATGATGTTTCCAGTTGCATGCTTTCCTGACTGAATCCGCGTGCTGCCAACAGATAGTGGTCACGTTCTCATGCATACGCGCTTGACTGAACATGTACTCTGGCAAATGATTGTACGCGCCAATGCATGCACGCGCGCTGACGTTGCGTTGCGTCATGATGCCGGCGCTTTGACTGTTCGGAAAGAAATAGGAAGAGTAAACTGACTTGTCAAGGCCCGATCAAGCGCAAGCTTCGATTGCAACTAGAGGTGATTCGCTGAGCGGGAACGCAGACCCTAGATAGTTTGTGGAGCCGCAAAGCAGATGTGACGTATGGCAATTCTTTTCGGCTAGGAACGGTCGGTCGGTGCTTTCTTGACTTTCGCAGCTTCTTGACTGCGTTGTGGCTTTTGGCTGTTTTTGTAGATTTGGCATTCTACATCCTCAGCATCACCAGCAACCCTCTGCAGTATCACTGCCAGTATTTGTGGACATCAATCCTAGGCCAACCCTAAGCACACCCTATACCAACCCTAAACCCACCCGAAACCAACCCTAAGCACACCCTAAACCACCATCAATCCATCCCTAAGCCACCACCAAACCATCCCTAAGCCATCTCTAAACCAACCCTAACCTAGCACTAAACCGTCAAAAATCCAACAACCTTCACCTTACCCTACACCACTACCCAACCATCCCTACACCAACCCTGAGCCCACCATCAAACCATCCCGAACACCAACTCTAAGCCCGAAACCCACCCTAAACCTACTCAAACCCACCCCAAGCCCTCCCAAATCCAAGACCACCTTAAACCAGCATTGAACCAGCCGTAAACCTTCGCTATACAAGCCCGAAGCAAACCTAAACCAACTGAACACCTACCCCAAAGAAATCCAAGACCCTGCCCAAACCCACCTTGAACCCACCCTAAGCTCAAGCTACAGCTTCTGGTGATGCCGGGAGTGTTGAAAATGATGCTAGGGATGTTGACGGTGCTGGGGTAAAACATTTGCTTTATATATTAGCAAATGCGAGACTGCTTCCGGGCAAGAGAGCTGGAGCCCTTGTGTTCCGAAGGGGGCGTTTCCCAAAAAATGGGAGCCCTTTTTCGGTTTCGTTTTGGTGAGACTTTTCGTACCTCGGGGTTTGTCTCAGGAAGCCGCCCACCATGGATGATGGCTTCATTTATCAGCACAAGTGGATCAAGGGCCATTTGGCGTGGATGAGCAAGGCCGGCGATGAGCTCTCGCGGCCCGTGGGAAGCTGGACTCGCGGGGTGTTGGGGAGGTGACTTCCTGGGTGCTCTTGCTTACTGTTTTTTCTTGGTTTTCTGGTATTTTCTTGGTTTTCCTTGTTTTTGTTTTTCGACAAAAAAGCGGAGCTGTTGAAGGCTTTTGAGCAGCGACGTGTTAAAATGGCTCGCGGGCGAACTTGGCTGCACTTCGGTTTGGCACCGACAGCTTGAGGCTAGGCATCTGCTTATCCTTAGGCGATCAGCAGCGATCCTCAGCCCAACACTCTATGATCCTGGCTGTTTCTTTTGCAAACCCATACACCTGAGAGGGGAACTCTCGGGAATCCCGACACAGCCCGGATTTATTTGTGGGGTCTTGGGGTAGCAATTCAACGCCTCGACCGTAACCCTTACTCCCCAGTTGGTGTCAGGACCGGACTCGGGTCGACTGCCTTGATTGGTCCCAGCCCTGTTCAACGCTGGGGTATGGTAGAAGTGGTTGTGCTTGGGGCGAGCAGAGAGGAAGCCACACACACACACACAGGATGTAGAGGGCGGACATGGCGCTTAATTTCGGGGACTACCCACTTGAACTGATTCTTCATGTTCCTTGTTCAGAACCCCCCCCCCGGAAACGGACCCTAATCCGGCCAGGACCCTGCAGCGATGACGGAGGTGGAGACTAGGAGTTGCTACATCCTCACAGCGCCAACCTCGGATGTGTGTGACTGTGTGTGTTTCTATATGTGTGTTGTTGGGTGTTTGTTGAGGGCCTTATTTGGTGGTTTCAAAGGGGAACCAAGGGGACCACCATTTGGGGTGCCCATGGTCCCCATATTTTGACACACACACACACACCCCAGCGTGGTTCCGTTTTTTGGGAGGTGGGACACCTCTTTAGGCCGGTTCTAGAGAAGCGAAAAGAAATTGGGGCTCAATTTGGTGCCTCCATGTGTTTGTGTGTGTGTGAGAGAGAGAGAGAGACCGCAGCATGTGTGGGATCCCCACGTTGACAATTTGGGGAACAAATGCAATTTGCAGATTTGCCCTCGGCCGAACATTGTGGCCGACGTGAAAGGACGGCAGCCCTGAAATCCAACTGGAACGTAAGCGAAAGGGGGTGCGCAGGCGAAAGAGGTTTGCTTTGCAGTTCTGCGGGTGTTGGTGGGTCGGTCTGGGGACCTCTTCAACGGAGATCAGTGGATGTGGGTGCGTCTCCAAATTGGACTCACTCTCTGTCTCCCCTCCGCTCCCCTCCCCTCCCCTCCCCTCCCTCCCCTCCCCTCCCCTCCTCCGCTCCCCTCCCCTCCCCTCCCCTCCCCTCCCCCTCTCCCCCTCCCCCTCCCCCTCCCCCTTGTGTTTGGTTTGTTGAACACTTGATCTCCTGCAACATTTGGCTCAAGGCCCTTCTATTTCAATCGTACAGTCATTCGACGCATGGTACATTGATAAAAGGCTTGCAGACCGCTTTACAGGTATAACAGTCAATCCAAGCCACCAGGGACAATCCATCCTCCAATCATCCATATTGGCATATTGGACTCTCTCCGGAGTAGATCCAGGGACCGAATAAACGACCTCTACTACCACATGGTACCAGTTCCCTTCTGGGATAGGCACCCCGGCAGTGGGCCTCAATTTGTGGTAGCGGAGCGGGTTTTCCGCAGAGATCCAAGGGAAAATGTCATCCGATGGAGAAGGCTTCATGGAGGCCTATTCAAGAACGGCCAAGCCATCCGGCTATACGGAGGAAACATGCAACTTATCGATGACCGCCAAGCAGCCGCCATCGTACGACGGAAAAGTCAGCTGGTTCAGGTATGAAGAACTCGTGGACGACTGGGTGACAATCACCACGGTGGAAGCACCGAAGAGAGGATCTTTTCTCAAAAGCAGACTCACAGGAGATGCTTACATGTACAAGGCAGTCCTCCAAAATGACCTTTTGCAAGATCCTGATGAAGGAGTCAACTATTCCAAGAACACGCTGAAGAAGTACTTCCTGAAGGGTGCGACCAAAGTGTATCTGTACAGGCTCCTCAGTTTCTTCAATCATAGAAGGCAGAACCAAGAGTTCCTCATTTTTACATCAAAATTCGAAATCCTTCTTGTGAGATTGAAGGCAGCATGGATGGACTTGATGCCCGTCTTCACGGCACAGTCCCCATCATTTCGACAGTCCGTACAGGACGCAAATGCAAGAACAATTGCTCGATATTAGGAAGCAGCTGGTACCCGAGTACCGCCTCCAGTCCTGCTCAATGAGGATGATCCAACAGTCCTCAGACAGTATATCACGGGAATGCAAGCGGGACGCATTTCCCTTCGGGGACAATCTCATTGCGCAGTTTTTCATCATTCAGAGTGAATCGTCAGATCAGCAGAGAGAAAGACTGACCAGTGCTATGTCACTGAGAAACATTTCACAGAGAACTACTCCTATGAGATGCTGAAGACGCATTAGCATGAACTCTTCATCACGACCAGGACATCCATCCAAGATCCATCCATCCGACCACAAGGAGGCAACCGCAGCAACACATCTTCATCCTCGAACGGGAATACGAAGGAGAAGAAGGCTTTTGGGTTGAAGATGAAGATGGACTTGAAGGATTCATGTCAAACAACGATGAAGAGACATTCTGGGTCCTCGAAGAGAACGATGCGTTCATAGCAAGAAAAGTGTCAGGGCGGAATTAAGGAAAATCAGGAAACAAAAAGGGCAGTCACCAACGAGGTGGCTTCAAACCCTTTCGAAAAAGCGGTTCTGGCGGGAAGGCCAATATGGCCAATGAAAATTATGATCCCTACGACCAGGCATATTGGGGAAAAGGCAAAGGAAAGAAGGGAAAGAAAGGAAAATCAAAATTCCAATATCCCTATGATGGAGACAAGGGTTATCCATCCTATGAGAATGGCAAAGGAAAGGGCGGACATGACAAAGGAAAATCCAAGACGTTCGCAGCCATTGCAGAGAAGTCGGAGGAGCATCCTGCCACACAGCCAGTTGCTGAACTCCAAGAGGCTGCCTATGCCGGTTTGACAGACCAAGATTGGGACCAATCATGGACATGGAACGAACAAGGCTGGTACTCATCCCATGAGACATCCAGCACAGGACAAGCGCTAATGGCATTCCATGACGCATTTGAGCATCATGAGAAAGAGGCCATCCACGGGAAGCTGGTCCAATCAGATGCAGTTTCAGAACACAATTTGTCCGTAACAACAGATCACAGCCTTTTGGCAACAAAGCTGATGGCGCCTGTCATCAACCCTCAGCACAATCCGACCTATGCGATCCTGGACAATGGATGTACCAGATCCATGGGCAGCTGGCATGCAATCCAGCGTTTTACTCAGGCCATCGAACCCATGAAGGACCTCATCTCCTATCAGTACATCCCGGCCGAGACCAAGTTCACTTTTGCAAACGGAGAAACAGCCAAGGTAAATTGGACCTTGCATCCTTAAACAAGGAACTGTACCGATCCTCCTCAGCATTAGTCAGATGCGGAACCTCTACATGACCATCGAGCACACACCTCAATGTGACAAGATCACATGCAAGGCCTTTGGCATGAACCGTCAAGCAGTTCCAGTATCCGGTACAGGACATGCACTCGTCGACCTCGCTGGAGTTGCAAGAGTGAAAGCGCATGGAGTAACTGCCATCAAGGGCCTCACCAACTACGTGTACGATGATGACAACAGCATCAGGTTTCCCTCCGGGGATACCTCTAAGAGTGAAACTGTTTGTGCATCCAAATCCGAGACGAAGGAGGATCTAGCAACTCCTAAAATAATTGGGTCTCAAAAGCAGGACCTTTGGATCCTTGACAAAAAGAACAAGCAGCTCATCCGTGTGCGCATCACGCCTCGCAAGGCGTTGTTCACACCAAATGGAGCCAAGGAATGTCCAATCAATCCTGATAACATCAGCCGAGAGCGTACCACGGAAATCATTGATGCATCCGAAGGTGGAGACCCAGACATTCTAGAAGACAATTGGAGACTTACATCCCAGGCAAACAAACCAATGATTAACCTGTGGATAGGTAAGACCGTTTTCACCTTCGCGGACAATTCGCTTAAGGACGAAGAAGCAGGTTCAGGATCGGCAGCAGACAGGATCATCGACAAGAAGGGCCGGCCGACCATTGAGCCAGATCCTTTCGCACCATCCTCAGATGAACCAACATCGCTTCCGATTGCCCTAGGCAGAATCCGCAAGCGATTGTCAAATCCCGAAGAGTTGAAGAAGCTCCGCCTCCAGTGTCATCACATGACAACAGATCAATTTCGATTCAGAACTCGTTCGCTTCACTTGCCAAAATCAACAATCGACCTATATGACAAAATCCGAAGTGAATGTGAAGCTTGCCAAGCGGCAAAACACGCACCATCACGAAGCAAGACGAGTGGACTTAGAGCGGACACCTTCGGTGACATGACATTCATTGATCGCTGTGAAGTTCCTCTTGGAACAGGAGAACACATCATTGTTTTTGTCTCTGGATGGAGCAACAACATTGCTCACTGCAGAGGCAGTGACAACCACGCAAGAAGTCGAGAACGTCACTGTCCTCAGGAACTATTTTGACCAGTGCCACCTGCAGCCCAAATCAGTTGTCGCAGACCAAGCCTTCATGACGGAGACAGGGAACATTTCTACCAATCCCTTGACATCACACCGATATCATTGGGACCATGGCCAAATCGAGCTGAAGCAGCAGTTCAACTCCTGAAGGCGCAACTCAAGATCATGCTAAGTTCCATCAAGGCAGGCACGGCACCTGCAGCACTGAAGAAAGTGACATATAGACAGCTGGTGAAGGCAGCTGCAACTGTCAGGAATCAGACTGTCACCTACGTAGGTGTAACGCCATTGGAGCTCGCATTCGGATGGACCGTGGTCAAATATGCAGAACATCCAACAAGACCAACAAAGAGTCTGGGAGAAGCGGAAACGGTATCTTCCCATGGTTGAGTTTGTGAAGCGCGGAAGATACTTCATCATTGAAAATCCTCAGACATCCAAGATATGGTATCTGAACTATATGCAGCAACTATTTTCAGATCCATCCGTGACCTGGGGAGATACACGAACATCAGCCCCTAGAGGGAAATGCTGGTACTTGCGGAAGCAGGACCAAACTGGCACAGGTGTATCCTTACCAGTTCTGTCAGGATCTAGCGCACATCCTCCTGCGACACTTGAAGGTGAAACCACTTGACAACGAGGTGTACTTCCTGGAGGACCTTTTCGAACCATTCACCATCAAGCAAGTTGACATTCTAAGAAAGGAGATGGAAGCCATTGACAAAGAGTTCAACATGACCAGCAGTAGTCTTGCGGTCAGAATTCAGGATCTCCCGTTCAACAAGGACGTTCAACCATTGGTCATCCAAGATCCGCCAGTCCAAAAGTTTCAGAAGACGATGAAGCAGTACCCTCCGGGGACTGAAACCGATATCTTCAAACAAGATCCTAATGACTGGCAATGTCAGAACATGTGGAATGGTTGCAAGAAGCTGACAATTCTGCATCTCCTCCACTCAGTATGATGCATGCGCAGCATACGTCCACACCACCGGCATTAACATGCCTATTACGTCACCTCCGGACGATGCGATCATATCCTTCTGGCAACCTGATCAGCTGAATAGAATTTGGGTCTTGCCTGCATCCAAGTGCAATTGGG